GCTTAAATTCCTAATGGAGTATGGATATAATAATAATGCATTCGTATATAAAATCGCAATAACTCTAATTTAGGGCTCAGTGTACTGCTTAACAAAGCTTAACATATTCATAAGATTTAACACAAGATATATTGTTAATCCGGAGCTTTTGAAAGAAATCGGTTTTAAATTTTTAGTGCAATTGAACCAAACCATTACCTGTAATTGATAGAGGTAATATAAATCGGCTTTTAAACTGTTGTTATATTGATAAGATTTGGATACACATAAGTATTGAACCATTAATCCAGAACCGTGAATAGCATTTGAATAAAATCGGTTTTAAACTTGTTAGTTTAATTAAACCAATAGAGGATTTGACAATACTCGAAACAGCTATATGGACAGCCAAAAATTTAATTAATTAAAATAATATAAAATGAATTTTTGTTATTGTAGTTCACTACTATTCGAAAAACCTCTTAAGAAATTCAATACCTGTAAACTGCAGCTGCAGAAACAATAAAAATCGGCTATTTACCATATTAACATATTGAAACGATATATATATGAATATATAAATATCGTTACAATATCTATTGGATTTGCCAATAAATATTGCCAGTACACAATTTTGATCCAGAGATGTAAAGAACTTTTGAACTAAACCACCCCAGAAATTGATATAACACTGACTTTTTTTGTTTCAAATTAAAATTTTGTCATTGAAGATGTCTTTTTTGACAAAAAAATACAAAAAAAATTTATTTTTATTTTTTATACATACAGTAAGGTTGGAGTGGCGGCCTTGTTTATCAAGAAAGTCCACTTGAGCACAAATAATGGCCCGTTGTGGTACATATAGTAAACATCTACCAAACTTTCAGTAATATTAAAAGTATAGTTTAAGTTAAAGAATTTCAGAAGCACATAACATAGTTCCTCGTTTTGACCCATCAGCGAAAGTATTATAGGCAAAACCGATATATAAAAAGTTATTTGAAAAACCGATATATGAACAATCGCAATATTGCTAAGGAACTAAATATTAAACACAAATGTAAAATATTTTCTGAAATTTGAATAATACTTAATACGAAATGCAGCTCAATGTTTGGATATCACATGGACTAAAAAAAAAAAAATTAACCGATATGTACTTAGAAATCGTTGTAGACACTGATTAAAATTGATACATTTTCAAAAAAAAATTCAAACTTCACAAATGGTGACAACACCAATATTGATAGGCGGTACAATAATCCTTTGTATTTAGAAGCATAGAAAAGTATTATCAATTTAATGAAGTCTGGTAAATGTTTTATTGGGATTTCATAATATATGTTAAAATATGAAATTAAAAACGAAAAAAAGGGCAGAATTGATCAAGAAAACAGTTTTTTGTTCTTGTTTTTTATTATAACAATGCTAATCCACACATTATTCTTTACCCCGCAAAAATTGAAAAACCATAAACGAGAAATTCAATTTCATTTACCATGGGCTATATGTATACCTCTAATGTTGAATAAGGTTATATCGATATCTGCAACAATCTTCCTAGTATAAAATTGACCCCAAAATAAGATTTCGCAAATCACTTGTGTTAATTTATCAAAAATAACACCCTGAATTTCTTCAGCAAAGCATATAAATTAATATGGGTATATATACAGATACTAACTGTAAATTCTGCGAAGAGAATGAGGAGTCAGCCACACATGTGAATAGACTTCTGGAAATATATACCCTTACGGAAGAGGCAATAAAACTCTGTAAAGTAGGTTCTATATAACTTTTTATTGACACACAGGGCTTAGAGACCTACTCTAAACTCAGATGGGGGCACAATAAATCCGACGGTAGCAGTACCACATCCCTTAACAATATTAAAATATAAGTTAATAATGACAAAAAAAAGGAAAGTATTTATATTTTAAAAATTCTTTTTCTAAGAAATAAGTGTTTATTCAATTTGAAAAAAATGTTTCAATTTGGACTGAATATGGTGATTAAATTTAGTATGTCTTGTTAGATTCCGAAACTCAAATTTTTAAAAAATACAGATTGAGTTCCGTCACATAAAATTCAAGTAGTAATTAACTGTGTTACATTCCAGATTAACTTTTGCCATGTGTATGGGCAAAAAACTTTGTAAAAGATTTGTCAAGCATAATTCCATATACTGAGGACCTATTTTTATAGTTTAAGCACTATGCTTTATGGTTTTTGCAATTTATGTTTCAATATTTAGACAACTCTTTAAAAAATTACATATTTCAGCTAATCAAATGGAAGAAAGTGCTTCGGCTAGAAAGGTGTTTGACTCGGTATCCACAAGTGAAAAACGCAGTAGACTAGGACGTCCACATTTTCGGTGAAAGGACCAAGTGATTAACGATTTGCAGGCGCTCGGTACTACCAACTGGCGACTGTAAGCAACCGATCGTGCTGGCTGGCGAAGGCTACTCGAAGCGCCCAAGGACAACTCACGTCTGTAATGGCCAACTAAGTTAGAAGTAATCAAATGTTCTTAATGATTTTTAAAACCTTTATTTTGAAATTCATTTCATAAACTACGCCTCTGTGTTATTTTTATGATGAAGTGCACATTGTGTCAAACATTTACTGAGAAAACAATATTCGAGTTGTTTATGTTATGACTTCAGGTACTTGAAAAATATCTAACTGGATTAGACAACTACCAAAAATGTAAACAAAATATTTAATAAAAAAAACAAAAGAAAGTTAACAAAAAAATTTGGCACTATGTTAGAAACAGCAAAGAGATAGCAACCATCAAGCTTTCCAAGATCAACTCGTATTGTTTACCGAGTATGGCATTTGGATCTTCAGTGTCACACATATTTTTTTTTTTCTGTGAATTTATTATTCTTTTCGTGGTTTTTGCGGTCTGTATGTGGCAACTGAATAATGTAATTTGTCAAAGACCTTTAATGTCAATTGCCTACATTTTTTACACATTTATGACCGAAGAAAATTATTAGAGATTTCAGAGAACTGCAGTTTATTGTTGTGCGGTTCCATAACTTTGTTGGAATTGAATGGCATCCACCACCAACGCCTATGCACTGTGCATCATTATAAGAATACATTTAGTTTGTCCCATTTAATGCTTTGATGCTTATCACTGAAAGCATTTGCATCTCGCCGGCTGACTTTATCTCAACGAAACCCTTGAAGCATAAAAATAATTAGGATTTCCATGGGGTTATGCAATTAGTACTTTCAAGTGCCGGTCTTAATTGCAGATTTTGGTGATAATTTGGTTTCGGTTTTTTACAGAACAGCTTGGGAAAGAATTATTTCCATTGTTGTGCGGTGCTTGAATTGATTTCTTTTTTTTTTTGTTTTTCTTGTATTCAAACTGAATATAAAGAATTAAAAATCTGAAGATGATTTTATTGAACTTCAAGTTATAAAAAAAAGAAAATTAAAAAAGAATATACTTCCCCATAGCATAATACAGTAAATAAATAAGTCTCACATATGTATGTTTAAAAGCGGTACAAAATTAAAGAAATAAGTAACAACAATCTAGAAGGTTTTATTTTTATAAAAAGTTTTATAAAAGAATGCAAGTTAGGGAGGTGTTATATATACTCTTATATACATAGTTAAAATATATATCACTAACCAAAATTATTAGTGAAATAAAATCCTACTACTTAGAAGCGTAATATGGTATACAATAGAAATTAAAAAAGGATTGACTCCCAACGGAGCAGAACACTGATACCATGGAAGATCTTTACTGCAAACAACTAATTTTAAGAAGGTAATCAGCTCTTTGAATGAAGACTGCAATGTCATCTGTTGAGTTTTTACTAATGTAAGACCATAATAGGAGTTTCCGGCCTATTATTCTTTAAGTTAAAAACCGAACAGCAACAAAAAATGTAATTTGAGGTGCTTTTTACTTTCAAGCGTAGTAGTTATTGTTACCTTAGACTAATCCCTCTTGTTCAATTAGACTGTCGAAGTAAAATACATTTTTTATCAAATAAGTCAATAAGACTACCCCAAAAATAAGGTTTTGATAATTTTCTAATTGCTATAGATTGCTTGGAAATCCTATTAATTTGCGGAGAATCTAGCAAACAAAAATCACAAAAAAAAAATACAATTAAAATAATTTAAGAAATGTATATGTTATACATAAAAAAAAAAAATTTATAAAAAAATAAAAAAAAAACCGAGGTTTTTTTTAGATAAGAAAGAAGGTAACTTATGTGATAGTAAAGCCAGCCTCTTTATGGGCTGGAACTTCTAAACAAAGCTTTAGCGTTAGTCGATAGGTGTGCTTTACAGAACAAAAAGGTTGGAGAAACCTACTTAAAAGGATTGGGTTTTTACTTATATTAAAAATATATATTTTTCAAATATATTAATATTAATATATCTAATCTTTTAATCAAAGAAGATTAAAAGATTATGTATAAATGTTAGCGAAATTTATTCTATCCTTAGCTCACTTCACGTCTTGAAATAAATCCACTCCCTGTACACACCTAACCATATCTTAAGCACAGATTACTGGTTACAACAATAACGTCAGCAGTTATCACATACAAAGCCATTTTCGCATCTCTCTGAAAACCATTTGACAGTTATCAAGAATAATGGTAAAAATCTGCTCCGGGTGACTTTTTAAGTCTCATTTCGAAACTGCTAGTCTTCGCTCTTCAGATGGGTAGTCTATTTAAATTGGAATACGTTTTCAGTTGGATTGGTTGGATATGCATCTAACGAAAATAATGACCAGCTATCTTACCAGTTTTTGTTAATTTAGCATATATTCTACACAATGTCAAATAATTCCGGCACACAAATTCATGGATAGATGAAATAAATTGACTAGCTTTAATTATATTCCAAACATTAACGCACCATATAAATATAATTCAAACTCTTCGTAACGTAATCGAGTATGCTATAGTTAAATTTGATAAAAAAAATGTTGTTTTAAAAAAAAGTTACAAAATCTGTATCTGTAAAATCTATCTGTATATAAAATGGCAAAAAGAGATAGATTGGGTGACGCGGCTGAAATGACGAAAATGATGGACATAAATTTAATTGAGAATACAAACGTGCTCACGGAAGACAGCAGACTCCCACAGATGGATTACGCGCAAGAAGCTGTTTCCAAGTGTTCAAATGCATTGGGCTTATGCACAACAGAAGGTAACTAAATACATTAAAAAATTTTCCAAATAACAATGAGAATTAATAGGTGTGATACTATGTGCTGAAAAAGATAAAAACCATTTATTAGTGATGTTAGAGTCTGCGCAGAAATTATTTCGCATTGATAGTCACATGGCAGTGGCCGTTAGTGGAATCTATGGTGATGATCGTCCACTTATAAAGGCAGCTCGCAAGGCGTGCGCGGACTTCAAGTTTGTAACGGAACAACCTTTACCGGTCAAGGCATGTGCATATGAAGTATCAAAACTTGCTATGCAATTTGGTAGCAGTTGTCATGGTAGTTATGGGAGGTCTCGTCCATATGCAGCGACACTAATATTCGGTGGTATGGAGAAAGGTGAAGCAGCTTTATGTTTATTAGACGTATTTGGTGACCATAGTCGTTGTGAATTTGTTGCAATCGGCGCAGGTGGTGAACTAATGCAGAAGGCATTGCAAGAACAGTTCAAGAGTAACATGAATTTAGAAGAAGGGATTCGTTTGGCACTTTCGATTATGAAGCTTGCAAAGAAAGATGAATTTATTAGCTGTAATATTGAACTAATGACTATTACACCAGAGCCCAAAATACGTTTTTATGACTATGAACAAGTGGTTGCATTATATTCAACATTTGAGGAACCTACAGAAACCGAAAATAATTAATTATTTAGAGTCTGAATTTGAAAATTTCTTGTTGCAAAATATGTTTGTTTTTTTTTTTCTTAAATAAAATATAAAATTAAAAATACAAGAAATATCTACATAAGTTAATAAAATATTTAGACGACTGAAGTTATTTTCTTATTAAAACAGTATGAAATCAAAGAACAAAGAAATCGTCTGTTTAAACTTTGATAATCACAGTGCAGAATAAAAAAAGATACATTGATAAGATATTTGATATTCAATGAGTAGAGCATTACTCTCCAATCTTTTGAGAACTGCGAAGACATTTACATTTAACTTAGTGTCAACCTGTGTCATTTCGGAATACAGAATGCATACATTTTATGTTATGTGCAATATTAGTCCCGATTTTATGAAAGAAGATCGTTAATCATTTAATGCGCTTTGAGTTGTTTTTCTTTTAATGTTTACCTACACTGCTCCATTGCAATAAATGAAATAAAACATTTTAACATAAAATTTAAGGTCTCTTAATGTCGTTAGTCACCTTTCTGGAATTTTGTATGCACAAGTCATGTAACGCACGGACAGACAGTTTTCATGACACAGACCAAATAAAGCATATAGAGCGTGCCTTTCAAGTTTTATATATTACACGACTTGAATGAGAAATCCTATGACTAACCACTTTTTCGGTTAAGTCTTCACTTAGAGCAATGATTCTTTACTACTGATTCGCTCAACAACTGATAAGAAAAAATAAAGCAAAATAACTAAAAACCATTATGATTTTATTATATTTAAAATAAAAAGGAACTACATGCTTAATACTATACATATGGTATATATTCATATGTTTATATATAAATGATCCACAATTTTATTAGAAAATAACTGAAAGAGATTATGTTATTTCAAATATAAAAAATACATACTTAATATTACATATGTATATAATAATATAATAAATACATATACATATCCGTATAATGCACAATTTATTAGGAAATTAGTATGTCATTATGTTGTTTAAAATAAATAAAATTTATAATTGAAATTATATACTTAACATAGCATACATACATACATGTATGTAATATAATGTACAAATTAATTAAGAAATTTTTGTGTTTTTGTCAAAGAAAGCAGTTGATAACTAACAAGATAATACCCAAAAAGTGCTCGATAGAAGTAAAATACTGTAGCAAGAATTGTTCAGAACGTACTTAAGTCTTCAAGAACTGAGGCATATTAGGCATCAAATTAATGGATTCTTAATATAAACACATCAAATTAATATCTGGAAAAGCATGTTGAGATAATATTTGTCGAGTGTTCCTGAGGCTAAACACCAAATTTTTATAACTTATGCAATATTCTGCTTTTCTCTAAGCCTTTCCAAACGGTTCATATTCAATATTACTAAGTGTTAATGCAATCTGAATATTCCTGAAAAGGTTTAAATGCTATAAAGAGAGTTAAGGCATCCTTCTATTTCGTTAGTGTTCAAATCATAATAACCAGATATCCAAGTCTTATTTTATTAGTGCTTGAAAACACATTACAAAAATTAGATATGGTCTGACCAATGAAGTAAAGTTTTTGTAGCTATCTATCTAATCGAATATATGAATATGAAAATTACCATTTTTGTACCTCTTTTTTAAGTATTTTATAATACAGAAATTATGACAGAACTTGTTATTAGAACGGCTTAGTTAAATCTAGGTACATACACGCCAGTATCACTAAATTAGATTTCCAGTTTTGATACATCGTTGAACTAAGTATGCACACTTTCTGTATGAAGTCCACATTATTCCTGCCATTTTATTGGGAATTATAATATTAACATTGCAGGATATCTATATATTTTTAAACGGGCTGACTGATCAATGATATAAATCAGTCAGTCCACAGTACCCCAAAGCTTACTATAAATTAAAGTCGAAATATCGGCGATAATAAAATATATTTTATATAACTAATTGAAAAAGTTGTGTATTATATGACATCGGTCAATTAGCCGGTTCACAAATATATACATAAAAAAAATTTGGTCATTAAAATAATAAATTATAAAAAACGGAGGACATACCGCAGTAAATTGGAATACGGTTTTCAAGTTTTCAATTTTCAAATTTTGAGAAAAAAAAATAAAATCTTCCTATAGTAAATTAAGAAATCAAATCTTCTCAATAAGTTCGAAAGCAAAACAAAAACAACAGCAACAACTCAGTAATTCAATTAGATTGCTTTGTGAGAATAGTATATTACATGAAATACAGTATGGTATTGACTAAACAGACTACTTAGATTCAAGTGTTGTCTGAATTACCGATGTTTTCGGCAAATTTCCGTAAATTTTTCGAACTACTGAAATGTTCGAATTACGGCAATTCGAATTTCTGTTTATACGAAATATCTATTTAATATATATACGACTATATATTATTGACTTAAGTAGAAAAAAATTTGATAAAACCGTTTGTATTCGTATAAAATAAATATGTATTGCCAAAATCAAATAAAGAGGACAAGAAAAGAGTTTGTACAGTAGAGGCTTATACATTAGAACTCTTACAAATTCGAATTGTCCAGAAATGAGAACTAAAACAATTCAATATATTGTATGCACTAAAAGATCTTAAGTTAGAATTTTTGGTTCTGATTCTGTTACTTATGAAAAAGGGAGCAAATAATCTTTGCTTGATACCAAATACTCTCTGATGGAGGATATCTATTTAAATGGTTTTTAAATTAACCTGAAAAGAAGTGTATATTTAATGGACCAATATTGAAGACAAAGGCTAAAATAATTTTTGCTTAAGTGCATCCTAATACTGATGTATAAGTGTTCAAAATAAGAGATGGGTGACTCACAAAGTAGTAATAACTGTTAAAAAGTGGATTAAACTTAAGAAACCAATTTTAATTTTTTGATCATTTTTTATAGAAATAAAAAAATTTTAGAAATTAAAACTTTTCGCAAATTCGAACTGCCTGAAAAACCAAGTGGTTTTAATTTGTGAGCATCTACTATATCCGGATTATTAAGGTTTTTTTTGTTTCGTTTTGTTTTATCCGGATTATAGAGATTAGGTACAATGGAAATTTTGTTTGAACATCGCGATTGTAATGAGATAGACTTATTTATTTCAAAAACAAACAAAAGTGCTAACCGGCAGTACCAAATAATGGAGAATCAAGAAATCAAGGAAATAATAATAAGTAAAGATAAGTATATAATAAGTATAGTAATAAGTAAAGACTCTATTTAAAATTACATGTACTTAAGGCAAAAATTTTATAATTGAATCTTGAGGGTGTCGTGATTCTTAAAGCGTTACTGTTTTTATCCAACTTGATTAATGATCAGTGATTCGGACCTCAAGCTTTAATATAATAATTTAAATAATGGCCACACAAGGGTTAAGTGCAAACAAAATTTATGTCAAGTATCTGAAGTAGAGAAAAAGTTATAAAAATAACTCGATTTGTCATAAGTGTGCTTCAGCGAAACACAAAAAAGTGTATGGATGTATGGATGTATGGATGTGTGTATGTATGTATGCATGTGTATGTATAAAGTGTACTCTGAATGTAGATAACTTCTATTGGAAATTCAAAACTGAAGAACTTAAATTAAATGCGAGCACCATGTATATACATATGTATGTTATATGAGTTTGTAGTTTGGAAACTTTAATTAATGTTTTTTCTTTTATTTTTTTTTTTTGTTGAATTTGAAGCTGTTTTTTTGTGTTGTGTTGGCTTGTGTTGTGTTGTGTTTAATGCTAATTTTGCGGCCGATGATGCCAAACAGCGGAAGTCAGCACAAATCAAATTATTTGTTGTCATTATTGTTGTCAATGTTGCTTCGAACTATACATACATATATTTTCCATAATTTCCCCCATTAATGCTGTAATACTGTTTATATGGCATTTAACGAAGGGACGTAATGGGATGCGTATTTAAACCAGTATAGGCAGAACAACGTGACCTTGATACGAATACCGGCTCCAACATGTGTAGTCATCAAATGACAGACTCCACCCAAAGATGCTATTAATTTAGATAAAAAAAAAAAAAATTTGCCTTCGTGCAACACTTACCTAAATCATCCATGTTGATTATTCTCTTCTTCTTCTTCTTATTTTTGTCGTTATGAAGGCAGGCAACAGCACCAAAAATTCCTTTAGTCTTATTCGATGAAACTGAACACCAGTGAAATGGTTCTTGTTAGAATTTGTAATCAGATTAATTAAACTAATCTTTATTGTAGTTTTATTTGTTACTCTTTAAATAGCACACAATTTTAAAAAGTATAAAAAACAAAAAAAAAAAAAGAATTTACTAATTTCTGCTTGTTTTCATAAAACTGAATGGCAACAAGTTACGGAATGCAAGAATTACGTTTTAATCACAGTAACTAACAGAGTTTTCTTCTTCTTTACTAATTTAGTAATTATTAAAATTAAAACTTTGCCAAAATGCGACAAGTTTGTAAAAAAAACTGCGTTAAAAAATTGCAATTTCAGCGGAACACACGTAGGCAGCGGCGCTGGCAGCACACTGAGTTATTTATGTCGCCTTGAATGAAACTAAGCTGAATTTTTGAAAATCGTGGCGAGTCAAGTTTTATGTTTAATTTCAGATGATTCAGTCACAATTCAACACAACACACATAATATACAAATTGCCGACGATAAAAATCATACGAATGTATAACAATAATAATAACAAAATGTACACAAAAGTATGCGATTTCTTATATCCGAACAAACACACGAACACATACGATACGAACGAAAGCAAACTAAACAAACAAAACATACACAAAGAGAGTATAGGAGCAAAGACAAAAACAATGAGCAAAACAACACCAACACGACGTAAACAAGAAAGCAAAAGAAACGTCAGACCGGTTACGTTATGCCAGTTACGTTATTATAATGTATTCTCTCAAATACTTTTGACGTTTCGCAGATTATCAATAATGACGTCATGCGCAGCTGATGCAGAGTCGTAATTATTACATAAATAATCACTTAAGTCTGCTACAATATTAATAAACAAAAATTAATAAATAATATTAATGTAAAATTGAAATTGCTGTGTGAACAGATTTTTAGCAAAGCGCGTCAAACGAACAAAAATACCAAGTCAGACACTTAAGTGTTTTATACTTTTAAACGTTATTATACATAATTTATTTTATTTTAACAAAATATACTTTCAAACCATGTTTCCACTAATCTCATTTAAGTCTGTTGCACAAGCTGCTCGTAGTAAAACTTCAGTGTTTACATTCGTTGTAGTTCATTTGTTCTCATTTCAAACAGCTCATTTTTCAATTTGCCTGTTGATTTGAAAAATGTGTCAAAAAAATGTTAAAGGTTAAATATAACTTAAAACCTTTCAATATAAACTGAAAACTTATTTTTAGTTTCGATTAATTTATTTTGAAAAGTAGAAGTTCCAAAAAGAGATGCATCGTTTCCAAGGAAATACAACCAACAAATATTTGTTTACCTTTTTGGTGAATATGTCAAAAACAGCTTTCTTAAACTGTCAAAATGCCATGAAAAGCTTTTATTTAGGGTATTCATTTGTAGTAGGTACATATTTGAAACTCGTTCTAACATCGTTTGAACTCATTTATACAGAATGAGATCCAATGAATCTCATTTGCGCTTGAGATTTTGTATGAGTCATTTGCTTCTCATGATTGATGTTTGACCAAAATGAGCCGTTAAGGTCGCTAATAAGGATAATTAACTTTATTTATATATGAAGAAATTTCATATAAATAAGGTCATTATAAATAAATCAACTCATTTCAGGCGAAAAATGTGGAATATGACCTCTTAAAACAAATTTCCCAAATGGTAGAATACCACAATTTGAAATATGTTCTGTATATATGTTTTATATGTAAAATGTAAACAAACGTACTGAAAAAATAAGTATTTAATAAAATATCTGTTATTATTAACTGTATATCAGTCATTTATTATCAATCATTATTTTATTTATTAATAATTATTAATCAATTAATTATTTATTTTTTATTTTTTTTTTATATCAAATGAAAAATGAAGAGAATTCATAAATTCAATAAAGTTTTTTGTGTTTATAAATCAAATATGCAATAAATATGTAAATATAAATAAATATATATTAAATTGTTAACATTTTCTGCATTTTCCATGCTGAGTTAATTAATTTAATTGCTAACAATACAAAACCAAGAAAAACTCTCTTAGAACTTTTATTAAACTTTTTGGCATATAAAAGGTGTTGCACATACATTAATCAGCTAATGGAAATGACTAAATCTTATTTACATTTACAAAAGTAGTTTTAACTGCAGTGAAAACATGGTATTACTGAATTACAAATAAATTAGACTTCATAACAATTATTTATTGTGTTTTATATTACAATAGTCACAATATGTTTGAACAATTATTTTTTTGTTCCTTCAATGGCTGTTTTCGATTTTAAACATTATGGGCGTGTGCGAGTTCGAGTAAATTGAAACAAAGGAAATTGAAATATCCGAAGAATTTTTGGCACTGCACTTATATAAATTTTTATTTATTTATTTATTGCACTTATTTATTATTTTTGGTTAAAAGCTTACAATTTTATTTAATTATTTATAAGACATCTTATAATATTTTCACAACAGTAAAATCTAATTTACCTGATTTTTATCAAATTTACTTTACTTGAAATTCTGGTAAATATCACCATTCGCTACCATCAATTTACTCGAACTCGCATACGGCCTATGAAAAATAATTTAATTATGTATTAACAAAATTTAATTTCAACGAATTTAATTTAATTTTAAAAATATACCATACCATAATATAACAATATACCATAATTTTAATATATCCTTCAGCTGTTATTGATTATTTCTTTTTAAAGGACTATTAATTTTAGTAAAACTGTGTAATAATTATCACCAACTGATAATTATTTTAAGAGAACGAGATTAAGTTAATCTATATTTTTAATCTACACCGTTTACATTATACATTGGAGATTACTTTTAACGTTTCTCTTGTTGTGTTTTATTTCATAACAACTTCGTACAAAAAAAAATTATAAAATAATTTTAATACATAGTTTTATAACAAAACTATTATTAATCGAATTTATTGAAAATTTGCTTACTTCGGCATTTTCAAATTTTCAATATTGTTTTGAGGAAGTGTGCGAGTTAGGCTAAGTTGATGCTAAACCAAATAGGAGAGTTTTTAGGATTTTTTGCACTGCACATTTAGCCATTTATTAACACGTATCGACACATCACTATTTTATAGGCACAACTTAGAATTTTCCTCATTTAGAACACAACTTAGCCTAACTCGCACATGTCCTGAGTATATTTTGAAATTCCTTTTCCAATTTTACTAAGATCGTGTAAAAATCCACGATATTAAGACATTTTCAAAATTGCACAGAAAAATAAACACCACTTCTAAGGAGATAAAAAATTAATCTCGACCAAAACGAGATTAACTTTTATGTGGAAAAACTGTGATTAAACAATAAGATTACTACTTTAATCTCGATTGTTGCTTTAATCTACTTCTAATCTCACAATGTAAACGCAATAGAGTATTATGCGAAGTAATTGTGTTGAAATAAAACGCAATTTTGCTACTGCTTGATAAAAGCTGCTCTACGGAAAGCTATTGAAACTAAAATAAACTATATATTAAGTTAAAAATCGATTTAAAACAATAATTACACAATCACTTTCAATAAGAAAACGCTACGTTGATTTTTACCAGTGTGGCAATATTACTTTAAGTTTTGGTCAAAGAATAGTTTTGGTTTTGATCGAAACCAAAGAATACCAAGGATAGAAACAATGAAAAAGTATGACAGCGAAAATTATTAAAAATATGACAGCGAAGAAATCAAACAAAAGCAAATACTTAATTTTTAAAAATGTTGATTAAAAATATACTTTTTTAAAATTAATTAAGCATTATTTTAATATTAGTAGCTAGAGGTCTAGTATTTAGGGGTTTTTTTGTATTACTGGATATTGTATTTTTTTTTCTGTTGTGTTGTTAGTTTTTTTTGTCGTTAAAAAACATTGCAAAAATCTTTCATTCACTTTCGATAATTGCATATTGTAACATTGTCCAAGGACGGACAGACTTGTTTTGGATAGTGTTTATCCACTCGTCTTAACACATTTTACTTGACTCTACAGTACTCGAAGTATTTGAGTATACGTAAGAAAATTGGAGGACGAATAGGACGATTAAGAACGATTGAACGATTACAGATTATTAGATTTTCATTTAGATTTATTGAGAACGATTGGACGATTCGATTTATGGATTTAACGTTTAAATCAGCAATCATGTTACCAAAAACTAGCGAAGATAGCGAGATTATCATAATCTCACCCACTTAAGAGAATAAAGGTTTTTCCATTCCAGTTCCAGAATTAAACAAAATTAAGGAAAAAAAGGAAAGTGGACTGCTAAAAGAAAAAAAAAATATTAAAAATTTGATTGTAATGATTCGAACCTTTTCATTTCAACGGCAAAATCTCGCGATCTGATAAATCGGAAAAAAATATCCCGATGCTTTGAACTTTAATTTGTTTGATAGTTTCTATAACATAATTAATCTGATTTATTTAAATAATTCTCTTAAAAATATTCATATTCTTCATGTGACGCGTCTGTATGACAAAAAGAAACTATTTAAAAGTTAGACGGATTCGAATAGCAAAGAAAAGACAAAGACAAAAATTTGTTTAATTTACATACAAGTTTTTATAACTTATTTGGATCAAGCCAGTTGGTGATATCGCAACCGTTTCCAGATAATCACAGAACAAAGTGAAAAAGACATCATCTTAACAGCAAATAATTAGTTTTTAATATATTTTTTACATTCAACTCAACTAATTTTAGAGATACAAAAATACACTGAATGCTCCCTTAAGCGGATATCTGTGGCAGTAACTATTCTGTTATACTAAAAGAGCGTACTTCTTATGAGAAATAAAAACTAGGGACTAGCAACATTGTACAGATAAGTCAGATTATGAGAGTGTTTATTTGAAAGAGCTTTCACTCCAATTACTTTAGACAGTTAATAAAACATAGTGCTTGACTTGTTTTTTCTAACCTAGAGTTTTATCAATTTGATGTTAATTTTTAGTTATACATATTGTGGGACGTTGAGACAGTACACCGTCTAGCAAGTAGCCCTACTGAAATGAAGGATTAGCCGAAGTAGACCACGAAACGACTTGGGTCCTTTTTCATCCATTGATTCTCGGATGTCGTTATTGAGTTAAAACTAGAGTGGCTTCCATTCGCACAATTACATCTCTTGTTATTGCAACCAGCTCATTGAGCTTGACGTTACCCCCCAAGTCATAATTTTAAGTTAAATATTTGTTGTTATGTTTTTACATGTTATATTAGAACGGAAGCATATAGTATAGCCACACTATAGAGTAAAAATATAGATGAAATTAATGCTTCTACAAAAGCAATAATACTAAAATCGAAGAACAAAAAGCATGATTGGTTAATTCAGTTAGAAACTACGATGGTTTATGCTTTTATTGTAATATAAATACAATATATTATAAAATATATAATACAAATATCCAAAATAAAACAGTACCAGTCGAGTACGGTCTTGAGTTTGTTGTTGGAATAATTTGATTCTGAGCTTCAAATTAACATTTTACGGATAAATAAATCGAAGAAATATGTTCTAAGACCACTGCTAACTGTATGAACAGTCAAATATTAATTAATTGAAATAAAAAAATTTGAAATAACTACATATTTAAAACTCTTCTAATAGAATAGAAAAAAATATAATAAAAATAACAATTTTTTTCACTATACATTGTGACCGAAAAGCTTCCGGAAATTTTAAATAAAACGCAAAATTCTTAATCTTCATCAATATTTATTTTATCTCCATCAAAATATGCTCCATTAGAAGCGATACACAAATGCCAACGTTTCTTCCAATCATCAAAACATTTTTTATAGGCGCTTTCCGGTATGGCTTTGAGTTCCCTCTGCGAATTCTGTTTTACGTCTTCTATGGATTCAAAACGCGTTCCTCTGAGTGGTAATTTGAGGTTGGGAAACAGGAAAAAGTCACACGGTGCAAGATCAGGTGAATACGGTGGCTGTTCGATGGTATTTATTGAATGTTTGGCCTTAAAATCGTTGATAATGTTGAACAAATTGAGGTGAATCGGAACAAGCCGGGCGTTGACACGTCGCATACACAAATTGTCCACCAAAATCAAACGAGCCATCTCACGACCGATGCCTAGCTCTCGTGCTATCTCTCTAACACTCACATGAGGATTTTTGAACACGATTTCCTTTGCCTTTTCAATGTTTTCGTCGGTGGTAGAGGTCGAAGGTCGTCCAGAACGCGGCATGTCTTCGACGGTCGTACGACAGTCCTGAAAGGCTTTGTACCACTCATAAACTTGAGTTTTCGATAAAACTGATTCCCCATAAGCCTTTTGTAGCATTCGCAACGATTCTGCACACGAAATTTCGTTCGAAAAACAAAATTTGATGCAAACTCTTTGTTCAATATTTTTTTCCATTGTTTTTTTCGCAACGCACTACTGAGGTGAACTGGTTTCAACAGCTGCCGTAAACGAACTGTCTGACAGATCGCGCTCATTTTTGGCATAGTAATTAAGGACAGTGCTGCCAAACTACATAAACTTAAAATATCGAAAAATATACAGCGCGCGAATTTTAAATGAGAACCTCCGAAAACTTTTCGGTCACAATGTATTTGACTTTAAAGTCAGTTTAAATAAAGGGACTATAATAATAATATAATTATTAAAATATAATAACCGCATGATACGGCGGATATGCATATATATGTATTTATATAGATTGGCACCCACAGAATAGGTTGATTTGAATATATAAGTTAATGATAAATATTTTATTTCTTTAACACGTGTTTGATGTTAATATTTATTTTTATTAAAGCAAAGACAAAAGATGTGGTTACGGTTCTGTAGTTCAATTTAGAAGTCAACGAGCTTCAATTGTCAGGGGCCGAGATCGAATTAATATCGCACGATTATGCTGTTAATGAAATTAAGCGCAGGGGCCGGATTTAAGAGGACGCAGGTGTTAACTTATATACATATGTAATTTAGTGTGGAGAGCTTAGGTTTAAAATATTAGGAAATCAGCTTTAGGAAATGTTAATGTGGTAGCCCAGCCATTAGCAGATTGACGAGTTTGTGTTGTAGTAACACATTGGGATCTAAATGATTGTTCTTTTTATTCATTCAAACTGAGTATTTATCAATAAATACTCTTCAATATTATATGTCTATATATCAAACGAATTATATACTAAAAAATAAACATTCATCATCATTTATAAATTTTAATTAAAATTGAATTATGAAAGATATGACCTTTTTATTTATGAATATTCAGTGCTGTACAAAAGGTTTAAATTTTTAACATTTATCAATCAGTACTTAATAAAATATTACATATTTATTATTTTTAAAATATATAAACTTGATTTACACAAACAAATTTATATATATTGTATATATCTTTTTGTTTTGATATGGTGTTCTACATTATTTTAAACATTTATCAAAAATGCTATTACTTCAATTTTTATAATATCAATAAAGTACTAAAATCAATCAAAATGTTTCCATAAATTGATTTTCTAGTAAACGAGTATATTAAGATTAATACATAAAAAGTATATAAGAGTATATATTATATTTTTAAATAGGTGGTTTATACATATATATATATAACCGATTTAAAAAGGAATAAATTACTACGATTAGGTAATTGTATAAAATCTTAGGTAATAAAAACGTGTATAAAATTCGTATAACAAAACCAATTACTATATAAATATAAATAAAATTTCGATAAATATTATAACATAAAAAATTAATATATTTATATATATTAATAAAATAAAATATGTTTGGCCAAAAACACATATAGTGTATTTAAACTACAAAATTCGTAACGAATCACCAATACTTTTTTTTACAAAATTATTTATAATAAGTGTAAGAAGTTAGGATATATAAAATATTGTTATACATTATATATCAATAAAAAAATTTATGCTACTATATAATTACAGAGATTTTTTACTTTTATAATGAATTACTTTTTCAATTTTTTTTTCAAATAAAAATTATGTAAAAATTTTTACTTTCAGAAAATAAATAAATTTTTAGCGTTTATGATTTCACAATAATTTTTCGACTAATTCAAAATCCTTGAGCAATATATTTTAAATGCGATTCATAGGATCTTCACTACGCAAGCTAAACGGCCTGGTAGCGACTCCGAAACTGACCATAAAGGCAACAGGCAAATATGATAGTGAGCAACTGCAAAATAAAAATTTATTCATTTAATATAAGACACGCAGCTGTTAATTATACATTGTACTCACCTGTATTCCAGCCACACCCAATACTACGCCCGCCAATATTAAGGTTTTTGAATCCAGTAATGCCAATAATTTTGGTAGGCATCCTTCCTTGTTGGCATGTACTGCGGTGCATTCTTCAGCTTCATTGAGTATTATAACTTCACAACAAGATGCTGGTAATGTCTTGTTTTCGGATATATGTTCCCAGTCACTGGGACCGAAAGTGCCACAACAGCCCAACTAAAAGTAAAAATATAATTATAATTTTCAGTTCGAACATACAATAAAAAATAAGATTTTAATTAAAAGTAAAACAAGTATGCAGGAATGTCTCTTACAATCAATAGATTAGAAATAAAATTAAAAAAAATATTAATTTAAAAACATTAAGTAAATTTGCATATCTGTGGTTTAATGTTAGTACAACAAGTACAATAGGTTTCTACGATTAAGTAATATTCAATTTACTGAAAGTGGGTAAGATAAACCATCACTTCTCAGAAAATAGTAGGACTAAGCATATTTACGATGCTAATTTCCAGTGACTAGCCACCGGGTATTGTCTCCAAACAATATACTGAAGGCACAGCTTTGTAACCCTGGCACGAAGCTGTGACAATGATAAAGCTTCAAAAAACTGGAGTTTTGGATAATAAGAAAAAAATACGCAAAATCTACGATTTTAAGACATTTGGAGGGTTGCACAAAAAAATAATCACCATTTCTAAGGAGATTAAAAATTAATTTCGACTAAAACGACATTAACTTTTATATGGAAAATCTGTGATTAATCATTATACTGTCATATTACAGATAGGGATTAATATCGATTACTTTAAGTCCCCGATGTAAAAATATTGGCAATTAGAATTTATTTTTAACTAGGCGCTATTGAATAAATAATAATTCCAATTTCCAATGTTCAGACATCATTTCATATTTATGTGATACAATAAAGCTAATTATACACTTTAACCCGAATAGTTTCTTGAATCTACTGGGATTGGTAAGAAATTGTGTATCTATGAATGGTCATGTGTTAACTTAATGATTTAAAGAAAAAGATTACAAGAAATAAGTCCTTCCTTAAGTTTTATAATATATGTATGAATTTGTTAATCGGTTTGCTGCAACTATTTTATTTATTGTTAACCATATTGAATGATGGAGTTCTGATGTTAGTAATATATATATATTGTATATTTTAATTGTTATGAATTTTATGTAGATATATATATATTTGGACTAATGAAATTGTTTGGTAGTTACCACCGTATTCTACGAATTACGGAAAAATATCCGAAATTTAATAAAAATTTAGGATAGTGGATTCATCTAATTTTCCACGAATTTAGATATACTATATTAAACATATTAGCAAAGCTCAGTTCTTGTTCACAGAGTAATTACTGTTATATAACAACTTTGAATTAAAAAAAAATGAAAATTATGATAATTTCACAACTATTTTATAAATAAAATTATTTCGTTTGTCACAAAAATTACCATTTCATATATTTAGTGAAGTTATCAAGCACTTCATAATAGGCAAACCTCATATATTTGCGTTAGACCAGTATACAATTTTATCAAAAATTAAATTTATAATAATTTGGAAAAATTTGTGCATTGCATGCACACAAAGTCAATCATATATTTTAGGAAACATGTATACGAAAGCAAAGACTATGTACTTGAATTTGTGTGTCCATTCAACAGTAAACAACACTTCTTCGTGTCTGACTACTATTGAATGCCCTTTCCTCTCTTTTCCCTCTTAATCAAGAGAAACAAAAAACTTTGTAAATATAAAATCAAAAAATGCAGAAAAATGCAGTAAAACTATTAAAGGACAAAATCGCAAAACAGAAAATCGCCACCTTATAAATCACACAAGCACCCAAACTTACAATATGAGTAGAAAAACTATAGCAACATTTTCTACACTATATTACACTATATCATTTTATGTTTCGATCATTTAAGATCATTGTGTTACACGTAGCTTTTATATGCCTTAATTGTTCTACTATTTAAAGGTCATTGTGCTTTTAGGTGGCTACTCGATATGGCTACCATGAAATCAAAGGGAGTCATTTTTTTGTTCTGCATTCGCAATCTGTATATTATTTGTCTGTGCCTCCGGTCAGTTGCCCTAAATTAAATTCTCTTACTACCATTTATATCAAACCAGTATCGTGTGGTGCCTACTGGATTTTAGTCACCCCGTACAACAGCTATGTCTTATATCGAAGATATTCTTACACCTTTATCGAGCGGGTTCTATTGGCTACAATACTGGTTACATTACACATTCTATGTAATGTATCTGGAATTTATGATCGTAAAATATATCATCACATTTTTTTTCCTGTAAGTTAATAGCACTATACTGTACAACCATTTTAGTGCGATCTATTACTACTGTACGATCAGACCAATCCATCATTGCGCAAGTTTTTTTTTAGCACCGCACTGCACCAACATAGTCGTGTATGACTTTTTACTGTTCCAAAAACTTAAATTACTGTTTTAGGTAAGACGTTTCAATCAGGTGGAAGCATAGTTGCATGTACTCGACGCGGTCTGCTTGTTGACGACACAATTTTGGTGAATAATGTTTATGTGTATATTATTTAATATACCCCAAAATCTAGCCGTATTTAGGCTACGTTAACTAGTTGTTAAAATCTAAAAGTAAGCTCAAAATATTTTTGTATTGGAAACTCATGTATACCTCAGTTTGTAGTAGAGTCCAGGCATCACGGAAATCCTTGCGTTCATTATACTCTTTCATAGTCATATTGAATTGTGTCTCCATGATATTCTGCAGGCTAGCGTGTTTCACATAACCGGCTATGCCTATGCCAATTTCGAATAAGAATACGATAACTGCCAATACAGCAAATGTCAAAATCATGCAAGAGTTTTCCTTGATAGCTCCACAAAATCCCAGAAAACAAATGAAAGCAACGACGGCACCAATAATCATTAAAATAATCGGTGCCGTCCAAACGTGGTTACTAACGAAATTTGAGTAGTGCGAGTAATTCAATTGCACCAAAGCACCGACTATTAATATCAGCAAACCGGTCAACTAGAATTATAAACAAAATTAGTAAAAATTATATTGTTTTAATGTTTCATCAAATTTACTTACAGAAAAAAGTAAATTACAAAAACATGTAACAAACTTAACGCAGTACACGCCACCCATTTTTAGTATTGAGCACGATTTCCTCTATCTGAAAGTTAATAATAGTTCATAATAAGTTAATAATAAACACATATTTCAAGATATTTTAGTTTTGTTTTGAGAATATCTAAACTGCTTACAAAATTAAGTTCAATATTTTTTAAAAATGAAATCACTCCAAGTGCTTCGCACAATGAACCGCGCGCCTTGGACTAAAATATCAACAAAAGCAATGAAAAGCAGTGAAAAGCGCAAGAAGTATTCTTCACTGTGGACGCAACTCACACATAATCGTAAATGAAAATAGGACGAACTGACAACTGAAAGCACATAAAAAATTTAAATAAAAAATAAATCAATACAAGACATCGATACGAGGCCATTCTACGTTACCCTTTTGTTTTCGTAGAGCTTTACTAACAACCACCACCGATAACACTACACCGAACCATCCGCAATGCCAGCCGAGCTCCCAGTTCTCTGTGTGAAGATTGTTATTAGCACACGTAGTCGCTAGCACCGATGTTACACATGCAGCGACCTAACCCACTGATTCACTCATCTATTCGTGCAAAACAGTTTACAACACACTTGATGAGAAAATCGTTTCAATGGTCACTTAACGTTCATCACACATTTGAATAGTGGAAAAAATTGGCATTGCGCCCCAACGCCCTGTGCGCTCTGGCACTGATTACAATATTGAAAAGAATGCTCGTTCGTTGCAATTACAGCCACACTTGCTTAATTACCGAAGAAATTATTTTAATACAGTTTTTAAAAATTTAATTATAAACTTAGGATATGCAAGGGAAGCTTCGGAAATTAAACTGGGAATTTAAAAGAAAGGAAAAATTGTTTGAGAACCACAGCTGCAAGGCAGTCAAACTCTAGTGGGAGTGAAGAAAATTAAATGATGAAAATAACTGAGAAACTAATAAAGAATAAATGTCTGGAAGCTACTGCTCCTAGACGACATAACTGTCTAAAAATTTGTAAACATATAAGTTGATATGGCGAATACATTATAAGTCTTGTGTTTTTAAGTTAGGATGAAGGCATGTCTGTTGGAGATAAAAAGATTTGCAATTTCATATAAGGAAATGTTACATCAACGAAGACGAACTAAACCTACTCCTAGTCGAAATAACGGTCTAAAAATTTCTGAAGTCCGCAACGAAAGTCATGATAATTGCGAGTAACAAAATATTTTAATACATAAATTATTTGTTATATATATGGTATATAGATGTTGCGAAGAAATAAGACGTAGCGCATTTTGCTACAATAAAATTTACAATATGAGGGAACGATTGAACTATTACATAATATAAACACGTTCCCAAAAACAATTTCAGAGAATGAGTGTACTATAACTAGATCTACAAAGCTTCGGTTAATGAATGTAAAAGTGTTTCTAGCAGCTAGCTGTACACCTAAAATGTCGGTTAATAGCCGGATTAAAGATCGCAGTCTTTGAATTGTCGGTATATCTAATAGTGTCAACAATTCCATTAACTGCTCAGAACACTAGAATCTCAGTGTTCGCAAAACTAAATCTAAAAATTATCTATAATATCTTATCTACAATAGCTAATTATTGACAAAATTGCTGGCTACTGCGATTTCTAACAGTTCTATTTGAAGTGTTTGAAAACAGTAGAGAGAATTCTACGTGCTTCATTGTTTTTTTGATATATAGTAAAAAAATACGAAATATTATGAAATAGTATAAATAAATTACATTTTATGCTTAAATATAATCCCCCTTTTAACTCGACACACCGAGTCCAATGATCTTTCAACAATTGGATACTTTTTAAATAATAAGACTCATCAAGTCCTCCAAAATATTCCACAGTTTCCTATTCTACTTCATCATTTGATGCAAATCTCTTTCCCTGAAGTCATTTTTTCAAGTTTGGAAACAAGTAATCGTCACTGTGAGTCATATGTATAGAATACGGTGAGTGAAGAAGCAATTCGTACCGTAATTCATATAATTTTGACATGGTTTTCATTGACGTTTACACAAGTGCATTATGCAAGCACAAAAATATTTTCTTCGACAAATGTGATTGTTTTTTCATGATTTCTTAATTTAATCGATCCAATACTATGGATTTAAATAGTTTATAGAAATTATTCTACTAGAGTTGCAAAATACGAAAGCCAAAAATTTTTCAGCCGATTATTGTGTTCGTGGTCCATAACCCCGGGCATACTATCCCCGAGTTATACTTCAGGGTTGTTGTATTCCCTCAGGTGTGAAATAATGGAACCATGTTTCATCAATTGTCACTACTTGACTCACTGTCAGCTAGATTGTGCATAAACATTTCCAAACAATGTTTTGAATGACAAAGTCGTTGTCGTTTTTGGGTGATTATAAGCAAACGTGGTACCTATCTTACCGAATGCTTACTCATACCTAAATATTAATGTAAAATATTCGATACACGTGTATATGATATATTTGTCATCTCTGTTATCTGCTATCATAAATTAATTTTTGGATCATCTATAACAATATCGTGGATTTTTTCAATGTTTTTTTTTTTAGTTGTAACCCCTTTCGGACGCTCTTCATCAAAAACTCTCGTACGACGTCGATTAAATTCAGCATGGTGCAAGGTTGCCGTAAACAGAATCCATTTCGAATTTGATTGCAACATTGTTCATTCCTTTCATATGGAGGAATTTTATTACTGAACGATATTCAATTTTTTTCAATCTTATAAAAATCACCAAGGTGCATTATTTGAATTATTTGCAAAAAGATAACCAAACATCTCTTGAAATGGAAACTTTTAAAGCTGGTATTTAAAACTTGCCACATATATAAAATATATTTGATTTTATTCTGGCGTTGCCAGCTGTTGTGTAGTCAGATAATTACCAATCAACTTAGTAGGTTAGGCAACATACACATAAAATTTGGATACGCCCTTGCGCTGAATGGTCGATTATAAAATATCTAGATAGTAACCATTTAAACCATATGGCACACGTAAGCAGTTAGGACTCAGTTAGGTCACATGACCGATTGTGCATTACTAGGTCAATAAGTCATCAATATATTTCAGTGTTACTTGCTTACTGTTTATGCTACAGGTGCATTTGTTCCCAAGTATACAATATGGTTTTATGGTTTCCAACACGTCATTTTTTTTTTTAATTTGCAACAAAAACTTTTTTCCACTTAGAGTAATGGACTTAAGAGTATTTAGTAATGCAAATTCAATTGCAAAAAAAAAAAGACGAAGTTGACACAGTTGTAAAAAATCAATATTAAGTTAATTATACATAAGATTAGATATACTAGTACATACGTAATATTTAATTATCACTTCAATTTTTAGTTCATTAACTAAAATTGTTGAATATTTTATTTATTATGTTAAATTATTAACGATTTGTCAACTTTCTAGAGTAACAAAGTGGCACCACATTTGACCTCTACCAATTGAAGATTTCAAAAATATTACGCCCCAATTAAAGTGTTTGAAATGGTCAGAGAGTAAATAAAAGATTTGTACGTACGACTATTTGTGATTGTGAAGACAATGTTTTTTATACCCAGTATTGTTATTATTATCAATAAGACTTTTATTAGTTAATTACTGATATATGCACTCTAGTATTGATAAGAACTTTTCGTGATGATTCAGTGTTTGCACAAGTAAACAATAGTAAACTTGGACTTTGTCAAAGTAGAAATATCGTTCAACAGTTTCAACTCTTCAACCAATAATATATTTCAGCATGATTCGCTAATCCGGTTCCATGCTTAGGTTACTGAGAATGTCTCAGTATAGCAGGATACCAGGAATTACATTAAAAATCTAAGAAAAGTCTTTTATATATTGAAAAATTTTTTTTATTAACAGAAACTGAATAAAAACTAAATAATAATCCACTATTTAATAAATTAATCCATACATTAAATGATTCATTCAATTTAGGTTAGGTTGGTATGCGATTATGCACGTAACTAACCCATAAATATGATCCGGATTATCGAAACAGTGGTCGATCAAGACTACAAGCCACATAATGCATATTTTGTATTTGCTAATTTTATCCAGATTATGAGGGAGACTAAATTACCAGAGTTTCAGACTAACAGAGATGTACTGTATATGTAGATATATGTGGATTTTAAAGTTTGAAATGAATGATATCGATATAAAGCGTATAGGAAAAAATTAGTTAAAATAAATAACTCCGCTAAAATTTATTATCAAATCACCGTGTTCTGGAAATCGGAATCGCTTCAATTTCTTATTTTTATGTGATCTATCTGAAGATTTAGTTTTATTTGTTCCACACGCACAATATACACATATGTTGCAGTAACGTGCGCTTATTCAAGACCCTTTTACCTATGAAGACTAAGTTCTGCTAAACACTTTCACTAATAATTCAACGCTCAGAAGGATAAGAATGATGACATTAAGTTAATAAATACATAACTCCTTCTGATTTAATTTAATTTCAAAATATATATTATTGAATTTCATTACGTACCAAATATCAACCCAGTGCTATTTTTCAAATGAGGAGATAAGAATGTCACACAACTTTGTTACTCTCTCAAATATTTAAAGCGAACACCCAAACTATCAGTACACAAAATTTTAACTAGCTTCAGCCACACCGGATTTTAAACAACCCGCATAATATTTGAAGTTCTAGTATGCATACATATTTCATAAGTCCGTATATATGGTCTGTTCTGGTTCCACTGACTTTAGTTCTATAAAAATTCTTATCGCAACGACATCTATCAGTAATTGATAGCAGATGAATAGTGTACACTTTATCTATTTTATGTCAAAATTCTAATAGCATTCCATTGTTACTTAAGATCTTAACATATGTATTATCATGACGATTTTATATAAATATAAATATTTTAATGACATTTTGTATATAAACTTATTTGGAAAATATGTAATTCAGTATATAAATGCCATTCCCATCGTTATCGTTCAGTGACACTACATTAATGAAATTTGATATATCTACTTTTTGATAACCAACCTAATCTTTTACGATACTTTTTGTATATAAAAATAATAATATGATATTGGATATATATTGTACTTGTATAAAATAGCTAGAATTTTTCTTCATTCTATAAATTTTCGTTGTGTCGGAAATGGTATTTTTTATAACTGATTGAAATAAATATATTAATACATATTGATCAAATTTTTTCAAACACATTTATTCCTCATATATATAGTATACACATTGTAATTTAAATTGGTGCTGTATCAAGCACAAATAAGCTATATAAGCATTTTTTAAATAAAATTCAAGTTTTTGTCTAATAGAAAGCAATTATTATTTTACTAACCTGAGTTGAGGAAAAGAAACCTAACCACCTCAATAAGTCGGAGTCAAACATCAAGAGCACTCGATTTGGTGTGAACATAAGAACAGATGGGCTACATCATGGGGAGTACAACTATATATTTCCGATTATTTTTGTGAGAGAAATCAATATAGTTATTCCCATTGTTATCGTTCAGTGATATTATATTAATAAAATGTGATATATTTACTTTTTGATAACTAACCTAATCTTTTACGATACTTTTTGTATATAAAAATAATAATTTGATATTGGTTATATATCGTACTTGTATAAAATAGCTAGAATTTTTCTTCATTCTATAAATTTTCGTTGTGTCGGAAATGGTATTTTTTATATCTTATTGAAATAAATATATTAATACATATTAATCAAATTTTTTCAAACACATTTATTCCTCATATATAGTATACACATTGTAATTTAAATTGGTGCTGTATCAAGCACAAATAAGCTATATAAGCATTTTTAAAATAAAATTCAAGTTTTTGTCTAATAGAAAGCAATTATTATTTTACTAACCTGAGTTGAGGAGAAGAAACCTACCCACCTCAATAAGTCAGAACCAAACATCAAGAGCTCTCGATTTGGTGTGAACATAAGAACAAATTTGCTACATCATGGGGAGTAGAACTGCAAAGGATGGATACATACATTTGAAGTTTATATATTTATACGTGACAAGTAGGTCTTTAGCATATAGCTACATATAGACAAATTATTGTTCAGTCAGAATTTTTGGTTGCCTTTACTTTAGTCTCTTCATTTGCAAAGAATTCATATGACATACAAAATAAAAACATTGTATGTATTTCATCCAGTGTAACATGTTACAATGTATTTGTGTTATCTGTATATATTTTTTTTATTTGAAAAGTTAGGAAATAAAGGAAAAAACTTGAATCCTATAATTCGATATTTTTTTTTGCTTAATCAATTAAACTTTAGTACTAAATCAAAACTTCTAATATACTTCTAATAGTTTTACTTTTCCGATGGGAATCGAAATATGAAGGTTCTATTGTATTTAAAAATCCTCGTCATATAACGCTGCCCACACGGTTGATTCCAAAATATACGAAACTAGTGTGTCGCTAGGGATATGAACTCAAGCACTGTGCTTAGTCCATATTATATATCATTGTGTATAAATTTATCCCAGACATAACATACTCGAAGGCATAATCGTGTTGATATTGTAATACACACCAACCTCAGAAGCAATCATATAAAAGGATAACAAAATTTAATAATGGAATGAAGTGACTTAACGGATGTAAAGAAAGGATTAAACCGAAAGCAAAGAAAGGTATAAACAACACGTTGTTGTTTTAACCCGTAATAACCTATGGAACAGAAAACACAAAGGGATTTCAGAACGAACGTAAGTGCTATGACATGAGGTAAATCACCATTTTTAATTCTTCCTGATTTGTTACTGTTTCTTTTCAGTTGGTGTTGTCTATTCTCTATATGTTATAATTTACTCTATCTATGTAGACTCTGTATGACCATCTTCTTTAACTGTTCTTCAGTAAGTTGTTTGTAAAAATTTTAAATTATGAAAAATTACATATTTTTGTTATTTTAAGAATTTAGCATATTTAGTCACCTATTCTATTTGAATCGGTAGTCGGTATCTATTATGATAGCATCTATCATTGTGGTAAAAAAGTTGAATGAATTTTGTATTTCAATGAATTGTATATATGTTCATAACTAAACAATCGTTTCTCTATGCTATTCTTTTTTCATTCAATTTAGGTGTAATTTCGTAAATACTTTTTTCAATCCATTTCAATGTTACGCCTAATAAAAAATTTACACAAAACAGTGAATATCTCCAATATTAAAACTCTATTATTCACGTAATAAGAGACAAAAAAAATCATTATTTTTTCTGGTAAGTGTAGTTAAGGTTTTAAGAAATATGTATGAAATATGTTTTGTGTTTGAGAAGGGTTAACTGCCCACCTGTTAGGCTTAGTGGAAACGTTATGTACCGTTAAGTACTTAAATATTCATCTCAATATACGCCTAACGTTCAAGGAACACATTCAAACTAAAAGAAAACAACTCAATATAGATACTTGGTCCAAAATACGAATTTAACATTCGCAATAACCCACTTTTATATAAAACGATTATTGCACCAATCTGAACATAAGGGATACAGCTGTAGAATACTGCAAGTAACTCGAATCTTGAAATACTACAACGATTTCAATCTACAACTCTAAGATTAATTGTAAATGCTCCATGATTTGTAACAAACCACTGCATTCATAGAGATCTCAAAGTCCCCTACATAAAAGAGGCAATAAGAAATTATATATTAAAATACATTGAAAGACTAAGCGAACACATGAACCCATTAGCTATAGCTTTGTTAGACGAGTTTGATGAGATCAAAAGGTTTGAAAAGCTACATGTATTAGATCTCCCATTTAGAAATTAATTTATTATTAAGTAATTGTACAATATCCATAAGTTATAAATATCTTTATCATGCACAATGGAGCTCGATAATCTGAATTAGTATAAGGACATGATGAAATTTGTATATTATTAGGTCTGTTCCACGAGCTACTCATAGTAACTTTGAGTAAACACTGTGTATACACAAGCGCGTTCCACCAGCAAATTTTCAAGTATTTTTGTGTAAATTTTACTTTTGTTTTACTCATGTTTTACTATGAGTAGCTCGTGGAACAGACCTATTATTTACATATAATATAGGCCCCTGTGCAGCGAGGCCGTAGGCGATCGCCGACACCTAGCGCCGCTACTACTTACAAACGTCCGTATATTCAAATCATGAAATATAGCGCATATTATGAATTTGTTATAAAAAATGCGTTAATTCGGTACTGGGACGTGCAGACAGCGAAGATAATTCCAAGAATTGGGCAGGAGAGGTCGTATATAAAATCTTGAATTAAAATAACTTCACATACATGGCAAGGAATATAAATAAGTATAACACTTGGCCCACACACACACACTGAAGAAGATAATGCATTAATTATATTTTAATTAGGTTTATAATTAAGCTTTATATTATATCCATATGATGAAAATATGTTTATATTAAGAAAGGCGGCCAAGTATGTTCAGTAGTTACTGTATTTTTTTCTTGATATTATATATGTACATAATATTTATTAATTTTTTAAGAAGTAAATAAATATTTATATCAAATGTATACACATACAAAGTGTTTGTATTTAATTTAAAAAATTGAATATAATTATTATTTATAATAACTCGCACACGTCCGAAATTAAATGCCAACACAGTTAACACAATTATCGCATTTTTTTAATAAAAAAGTATATAATATATAAAAGTCTTGTAAAAACAGTTTTTAATAACTGTAATTTTTAGTGTATAGATATTTTTCACTATACATAATTAAAATCCTTTTAAAATATTCATACACTTTCACTTTTTTCCCCATTTCCTTTACCTGTGTATGCCTGATAACAAAATCCTTACAGGACTAAATAAAAATAGTCCAATAAACAAACAAACAAACACAAACAAACCATAAATAACAACAACACACAGTGAATACAGGACGTATAATTTTTTATTAAACATCGGTAAAAAATTAAATTCTTTGAAACTTGAAGCTTTTATAACATTATCATATTATATATTAAACTTACTGCACAATTTAATATTATTATGAAATGCCGCTTTCAGGTTTTATGCACTCGAATAAAATTCCTCCTAATTCACTACCACTAATATTCACCGTTGAAGCTCTACTGCTTTTTTGGCCAGGTATCATGCTATCATTATTGAACATTTACACAGAATACACACAGAATAAACACAGAAATACACAGAATTTGAATTTTCCATACCAAATCATTTGGGCGGTGTTAGTGATGTCAAAACGGGAACAAAATGAGTTAATTGTATTCATTTTAAAAAAATTTATTGTCAAAGTTTTATACAGCGTTCAAATTTTTAGATTAAAAGTAGATTAAAGCAATAATCGTGATTAAAGTACTAATCTCGTTGTTTAATCTCAGATTTCCCATACAAAAGTTAATCTCATTTTGATCGAGATTAATTTTTAATTTCCTTAGAAATTATGATTATTTTTCTCTATTTTCTCTATCTCTATAATCTATTCAAAACAAACAATGAAAGTTTGAAAATGCTGAAGCGAGTAAATTTTTAATAAATTTCTTTAATGTTAGTAATAACATAATTATAACTAAAATTTGTTAAAATATTATTATAAAAATATATATTGAATTTATATTATAATTTTTTTGAACAAAATTGTAATTAAATGCTTTATTTGCAGAAATTTATCAAACACAAGAAACAAATCACAAGTGAAACGTTAAAATTAATCTCCAATTTATAATGTAAACAGTGTAGATTAAAAATGCAGATTAACTTAATTAATTTTTTAATTTAATAATGATATGAATTGAAATAAATGCTAAAATAATAAGTTTTATATTGAATAATTAAATAATATTAATATATTAGTTCAAAAATCAATATATTAATTAATTATAATATTTGATAATCATATTCATTTCATGCCGAAAGAGTGAGTTAAATTAAATCAATCTGAATTTGTCTGTGTGCTCAAACCTTCAGTTATCTGCTAACTGGAGCTTTGTCACTGTCATGACTCTAAAATTATTAAATTATTATTACAAAATTATTAAATTGATTTTATAATAAATAACAAAATTTAATGAATATATACTAATTCAATAAATTATTTATAATCCATAAAAATAATTCTAAACAACAATTTTGTTTCCTTTAATAAAAATGTATATAAATTTTGTAATTATTACAAAATTATTTATAAATTAACAATAAATAACAAAATTAAATAAATATATATGTACTAATTCAATGAATTATGTATAATCTATGAAAGTAATTCTTAACCACGGTGTATTGCTTAATGACAATACGGTGAAGGTTAATCACTGGAAAAAACGCCAAAACAAAAAGCTATATACGTAGCACTACAGAACTATAATCTATCTCTCTGATAGCATATTTTACTCCCATCTGAAAACTGACATGTATATGAATAATATATTGCACAATTAGACCTATTTATAGTGAGATACATTAAGTCGCAAAGCTCATAACGGGCTGCTCGTGTAGTAAGCATGGGACCGAAGAGAAAGCCGAGCAGCAGTCGCTGACAAGCAGGCATAGAGGTAGGCCAAAAATAAGATGAGATGAGAACGTGTATAGTGATGCAAGAAAGATTGAAGTACTGAACTGGAAGAGAGTAGTAGAAGATCGGGATAGATGGAGGCAGATCGTGAGGGAGGCCAAAGATCACCCTGGACTGTACAGTCAAATAAGAAGAAGATGAAGATCTGTTTATAATCAAAGTATATATAATTAAAGTTGGAACACGTTTCGAATATTTATTTATTTAGCTTATATTTTATTCTTAAATCAGTTCGAACAAATTTGTATATATTTATATATATATATGAATATATATAGTTATAGTTGTGAATATTAACATTCAAAACATATATGTAATTTGTTGATGGTATAGTTTTTTGGCAGTAATGTTTTATAAAAAAATGATAAGTTTAAATGTTACAAAAGTTGTAGAAAATGTAATTAACATATATTTTTTTTTTAATTACATATAAATATATATATGCATATGACCTATATGTCTAAATTATATACTTCATCAAAATAACATAATTCTTATAAGATTGTTGCTTAAATAAACTACATATTTTCCTTAAATATATATTAATACATATTAATATATGTAAATACATATAAATATATAATAATTAATATATATTAATATTATATATATATAATATATAATAATTAATAAATATTAATATTATATATATATAATATATAATAATTAATATATATTAATTTTATATATATATAATATATAATAATTAATATATATTAATATGTAATAATTAATATATATTAATATATAATAATTAATATATATTAATATATAATAATTAATATATATTATTATATATATATTTTGTATATATTATACAAATTCTTAAATTCATTTTTATTTTTAAATAATGATATATTATTATCAATGAAGTTGTCACAATGGAACAGTCTATATAAGTGAATTCACATATTATCAGAATTGTTGTAATAATTCTTTACGAGTATTTAGATCTGTATTAAATCCTTTAATTTTTATTATTCAGTACTTAATAAAAAATTATGTACACATACATACATACATAGTATGTATATATAGACTTACATAGTGTTCTTATATGTATTTTCTGTTTTTATTATACTTAGTGTTTTGTTTTTAAATATTTAGCAAAAATATTATTGCATCCAAATTTGTATTATCAATAGAGTATTAAAATTATTTAATTATTAGCAAATATTCGATTGCTATTATACATGATGTATTCTATGTACCTCTTGTAAATTCCCGAGTTGATTCTTTCAATCAAGAAACAAACAAAAAAATAATTTAAAAAACTAAAAACTGATACATAAGTTTTAAGATAATTCTTTTTGGCACTGTATCTCGGTTGTTATTAAAAACAGATTGTTTTCATAAACGATTTATTTGAAATAAATTATTTCCTTTCTTAGATTAGGGTTTAAACCCATAAATTTATAAGAGGTATATAGGAAAGTCAATTACGTATATTATTACATAAAATTCATTTAACATTATTTATTGTATTAAAATAAAATTAATAAATATAAATGCATATATACATTTTATTATTATTACGTATCAAATAATTTTGTTTAAATGCAATAATATATTATTTATATTGAATTATGACTTGCCAAAGCAACATGCTAAGATAATAGTGAGGATCTGCAGAATATAGAAATTTTATTCATTTAATATTAGGTAGAAAAGTTAAAAATATTATTTGCATTCACCTGCACAATAGGTACAGCCGCGAGTGCACTCGCCAATATAAATGTTTTTGAATCCAGTATATCCAATAATTTTGGTAAGCATCCTTCCTCATTGGCATGTACCGTGGTGCATTCTTTGGCCTCGTTCAGTATTATAATTTCACAGCAAGATGTCGGTAATGTGTTGTTTTTGAATATGGGCTCCCAGTCGCTAGAATTTAAAGTACCACAACATCTTAACTAAAAAAATGTAAGTGGATTAAATTTAAATCAATAATAAAATTATTAAAATTAATAATAATTGAAATTAGTGCGTAAAATAGTTTTCCTGACAAAATTCTCTTGGAAGCGGGATCTTGGTCCCAAATTAAATAGATAAAATTAAGCCCACAGCAAGTACGAGATTTATAAATAGTCTAGAATTGTTTTAATTGGGCCTTTTAGCGCACAATGGATCTTTTAGGTCGGGGTGCATTCATATAATGCGTGATTATGATTTAATAATAATAATAATAACAATAATAATAATATATAGTAACATATATATAATAAAATATATAATAGCATATATATAATATATTATATAATAATATGTATATAATATATAATATAATATAAAAAGTACATAAAGTATGGGCGAATATAAACCATTTGGAATAAAACGATTCAGAAAATGAGGCCGTTGACGTAGAAGACTTAGGAATATCATTTAATATAAAAATGAATTGGTTATACAATGAATTCCTAATTTGAAGCATTTTGATAATTGTTCATTTTAGCAAAAAAATATTGTATATAGTAGAGCTGAAAATATATACTTAAAGAAGAAAGGCGTCTGATGTTGACCTATTATACATAACATTGTTTCTCCAACACTATTGAAGCTGTAATCCATTTTTCATTATATGTCTACCCAAATGAAAGTTATTAACCTTAACGAGCAAAGCGGTTTGAATTTTCCATTGTGCAATAGTTTTATTACAATAGTCTGCAATATTTCAACTATACTGTAATATTAGAAAAACTAGTGCAAATTTTTTAAATGCCTACCTATTTTTTTGAAACCGACTAGACTATGTTACATATGCGGGTGATTTTTATAAATTAATTCAGTGCATTTTTCGTTATACAAATCATACCTCAGTTTGTAGTAGAGCCCAGGCATCTTGATAATCCTTGCGTTCATTATAGTCATTCATAGTTAGATTGAATTGTGTCTCCATGGTATTGGGCAGATTATCGTGTTTAACATAGACAAATATGCCTATGCCGATTTCCAATAAGAATACATTAACTGCTAATATCACAAAACAAAAAACTATACAGTCGTTATCCGTAATCGTTCCCCAACAACCCAAACAATAAACGAAAGCAATGGCAGAACCAACAATCATGAAAATAGTCGGAGCCGACAATGTGTGATCACTGACAAAATTTGAGTAGTGCCAATAATTTAACTGCACCATAGCACCAACTAAAAATACTATCAGACCAGTCAACTAAAATTATAAATAAAATTAATAAAAAATTATAAATTCTTTTACCAAATCTACTTACAGCAAAAAGTAAACTGCAAAAGCATGTTATAAAATTAACGCAGCCGCCAGCCATTCTCAGTATAAAACGGTTTTTTCTTCACCTGCAGATAGATAAAATTCAAAGGTTTATTTCTGCACTTTTTAATATATTATATATAACAACCCAAAGCCTTATGCAAAAAAAAAAATTTTAAACTCAATAAATGAACAATAATCCGTGCGCCAGCCACGCATTAAAATATGAACAAAAACACGAAAAAGCGCAGAAGGTCTTCCTCATCGTCGCCACTACTCGAAGTCGCAAAGAAAAGCAGGATGAACTGACAACATTAAACTCATAACAAAAATATTCCATCTAAAATTAGATAAGAAAAGACCATTTGTAACTATAATCTAATACAATTACCTATATTGTTGTAGTTAAAAGCCGACTTGAGGGTAAAAATATAAATAGTTGACCAGACTCTACACAATGGGATACATTTGAGAAAGTGATATGGAGTGAGGGAGGAGCAAGGATGAGCGATTAAGTAGACATATTGGATTTACACTTGGTGTACGAATTTTGCGACAATTACTAAGGCACATGACCACTTGAGGGAATAATCCGTGCTCTTCAAATAGAAAAATTTGGCTATCATCTACATATCTAATCAAAAGCATATATTTTAAGATGGGCACTTTTTAAAGATAGGTATTAGAGAATTACATGCATCTTTAAATAAATTTGTAAATCAAAATTTTACGAGATACCAATAAATAGAAACAAACGCACTCCGTTTGTATGTGCGACCGAAATGATAGTGAAGTGTTTCGAAATGTCAGTATAAAGTTTTTGGATGGATTCTAGACATGCAAACCCTTTCGATTTCCTTTTAATTTATATAGCTCAAAATGTCAAAGTGTCGTTGGGCACCAAATCAGGTTAATTTGTTAAATGGTGGACTTTACTTATGCTGTTGTTGTAACCCGTAGAGATTTATATAGCAGGAAACATGAAAGGAAATCTAAAACATTTACATGAGTTAGGATAAGTTTTGGGTGAAGAAAGAGCGAGAAGAAGGGTTGTATGGAATAAGTTTGCGACAAAAAAACAATGGGTGCACGCTTCTGTGAATTAACTGAAACTAGTCTAGGTCTAGGTGAAGGTATGGCAACATGAACAAAAACCATCGATCAACGGGCTCAAATTAGTATTACTATAGGACCACATTTGCGCGCCGTCAAAGGCAGTAGAACTGCAACTAAGGCATATATTTGGTATTGACGTTACTTATGCGGGATAAGTAACTGTTTAGATTACGAAAGTATTAGTTCTTATTGCACGTGGATTGTGTCTTTCTCCTTAGAAATATAAGATGGAGGTCCTTTAAGCAACTCGTTGCTGTGCAATTGTGTCTCAAAGAATACAATGCTACAGCTGTGAACCACGTTTTTCGTTGTTTTTGTAGCCCATGGATATCTAAGTGGCAGTTAATATGAAAAGAATTACAAATGCGAATACATGGGCTAGAGTATAGTTGGGTGAAGTAAGTATAAAAGAGAAATAGATTGTTTGGAATTAAGTACGGATTATAGATGGGTAAAATTTCACATTGAAGTTATTTTAGAACAATATTAAGAAATCTGGCCACTTCAGACCGAGTTTGTGCTTGATCTCACTGATGTTAGCTCAATTGCAATAGTTGTCGACGTATTTATGCTAGGAAGGCGTTACATATAACGTAGTTGTGGAAGACATTATATATAATAATATATTTACAGCTGTAAAAAGATGATATTTATTAATATATTAAAACTAAAGTGTAAACGCCACAATTTTTAAAGGTTTTTTTTGCGGTGCTGACCAAAAAAAAGTAAAATTAAAAAAAAAATTAAATTAAAAAAAAAAATTAAATTAAAAAAAGAATTAAATTAAAAAAAAAAATTATATTAAAAAAAAAAATTATATTAAAAAAAAAAATTATATTAAAAAAAAAAATTAAATTAAAAAAACATTGATTAGAAAAAAAATTATATTAAAAAAACTAAATAAAAAAATATAAAATTAAAAAATAAATTAAATTAAAAAAATGGATAAAAATAAATTAAATTAAAAAAAATAAATTAAATTAAAAAAAATAAATTAAAGTTAAAAAATAAATAAATAAAAAATAAATTATTAAAAAAAAGATAACAATAAATTAAATTAAAAAAAAAATAATAAATTAAATTTTAAAAAAAATAAATTAAATTAAAAGAACAATATATTGAATTGAAAAAAAATATATATTAAATTCAAAGAAAAAAAAAATAAATTAAATTAAAAAAAAATAAATAAAAAAATAAATTAAATTAAAAAAAAATAAATAAAAAAATAAATTAAATTAAAAAAAAATAAATAAAAAAATAAATTAAATTAAAAAAGAATAAATAAAAAAAATAATTAAAAAAAAAATCAAATTAAAAAAAATTAAATGAAAAATAAAATACTATATTTTATTAATTTGCTCTAAAAATGAATAATTGCAAGAAAAAGTTAATTAAATGGATTTTTAGTAAAATAACAAACAAGAAATTATTATTAAGTAATAATAAAATTTAATTTAATTTTAATTGCGCGACGATCGGCACACATGATGCTCAACATATGCAGATTAATAAAAAACCATTGACCCTCGCCCCAATATTAAAACTTGAATGAGGTGATTCCCACGATAACCTGAAGCAGAATTAAAAAAAGTTTTGAGTGCTTTGAAAATTGTTCCAACTAAATCTTTAATATTAGATTACTATATTAGTTTAAATATATACAGCATTTAAATATATCATTAAAAAAAAACTGTTCTAAATATTAAGTAACATAATGGATTGCGATTAACCCATAAGAAGCCATTAACCAAATCATACGACTAAGTGCCGCATGTTGGTGAAAACATACTAAGATCAAACGGAGTATATGATTTCGAAGTGAGAATGTGCACTGCATGTACACCAAATATAGGTGATAGTACCTGACAGCTTAGATCACATGTACAAAAAAGGTTTCTACAAGGAATATTTCCACAATGTCCTGTTCTTCTACCTGTGACTGTCTATTAGTTTTGCAAGAAACACAACACAAAAGAATCCACAAACAATAATAAAACAAAAATAAATGCAGAATTTAGTTATTTTTATAGATTACCGGTTTAAAGTTCGATTTTTATAAAATATCACATATAATTTAATATATATTTTTATATAAAACAGTATTTTATTATTTGAAACTCAATAACAACACAAATAATACTTGCTTTGTTGCCACTGATCATATTTCCAGCTGCCGTGCTATTATTGAATAAATACACACAAAATACACAGGCATTACACAGAATAAAAATTTTTAATGTCAAGTGACAGCTGTTGACGTTAGTGATGTAAAAATATAAAAACTTAAAAATTTGTATGAGTTTCTGAACAAAGTATTTTTAATATGATATATTAATTATAATATTTAAAAACTATATGAATTTTAATAAATATTTAAATAATAACTTTTATAATAGTTGTGTGAAGGTAATGGTAATAATAAAAAAAAAACTAATTAATGTTTGTTTCAATGAGTAAATAAAAAAACTCAACAAATTATATGTTGAAATTTATTATTAGTGATGTATAAATATACATATGCGCAAATTTATGGAATTAGTTAGTTTGATTAGTTTGAATAGATCAATTATGCAACTTATTTTTATATAAAAATTTAAATATTAATTATGTATTTTTCTTTATATATATTTATATGTATATATATACACATTTATGCTTTTGTCCATCATTATGTATTAATATGTTGATTGGTATTTGAATGTACTGTTTAATTTCTTGATGATGACTTTAGACTAAAGTCGAAATATCAATAACATATAAGGTATTGTAAAATTAAATTGTGATTTCTTTTTCTTAATTTTAATTTTTAACAATAAAAAAAAAAGTTTTTGCCAATTTGCTTAAAAAAAACACTTTAATAAAAATTACATTTTAATATAAATAACAATAATGTAGCTAATGTACAGTAGAACTCCGTATTACATATCCAATAAAATAAGAGCCAATTTAAATTTCTGAGACATTTGGATTGAGGGAGTCAGATTAAAAAATTAGGCAGATCTAAAATAATAAGAACTAATTGTATGCACAGTTTTTTCCATAATATTTTTTTAAAAATTGTTCAGTTTTTATCAAAAATCCAATCCAAGATAACGTGAACCTTCACAGCGCCACATACGGATTAGAAGCAAAGCAGGAGGCAAACTGCCATCTATAAGTCAAAGCCAAATAAGATATGGTGTTTGTCTTTCCTTTATGGTGGTAATGCACCTGTTGCGAAGTATTATTATTATTAAATTATTATTTCCCTTAAAACACTTATTTGAAAAAAAGTAAAGTAATGTTAAAAAATATATTAGTAAGTAATTATTTAGTAATATCAATTTAATATTTTATTCATATCATACGAATTTATATATAATAATATATATATATATATATATATAATTTACATATAATATATATAAAGACGAAGGAATTCCGTTTCAATACTTTAAAATTCATATATATATATATATATATATATATTTAATATATTTTAATTACTAATTATTTTAATTATATTTAAGTACTTTAAAATGAACTATTGCGTAAAATTGAAGCACTCATTTGTGATCAAGGGCCTTCAAAAAGAAAATATTTTTCCTTACTAGAAATCAGCAAAGATAAACCTTTTATAGTTCACAATAACAGAAAAATCTATTTTATGTTTGATTTCCCTAATTTGATGAAATCTTCAAGAAATAGGGTAATGGAAAATGATTTGCAAACGCCAGACGGAACTATTAGTTTTAAAGTGTTATGTGAAGTATATGATAAGGAAAAACATAATATAACAAAAATGTGTCAGAAGCTTACAAGACAGCATATATATCCGTCCTCATTTGAAAAGATAAGGGTCTAAACTGCAACACAAGTTTTTAGTCATACTGTCATCATACAAGCCGCAAATAGAGCTTATGCTGAGGATTCAAAAAAGTTCCAAGCCAAATTGCTATATCCACCGTTAATTTTGTTGCTTAAATGGATAAAATTTTAGATTGCATTAATAGTGGAACATTTTATGGGAATAATTCCTATCGATCAGCTATACAGATTGGTAATAGGCCTCATAATTATTTGAAGGCATTCGTAGATTATTTAAAAAACATTACTTCTCACCATAAAAAAATTCATTTTATTTATGATATGATAATAACAGTAAATGCTGTAATAACCTTGTCCAATGAAGTTTTGCAAAAAGACACGTTTTTTCTAAGAATTAAAACCCTAAATCAGAATCGAATAGAAAACTTTTTTCAATTAGTTAGACAAAAGAGCGGAAATAATAGAAATTCTTCAGTTGCTGAAATAAATCATTTGGCGCATTTGGTATTCGTTCTAATTCTTCATCGGGTCACTTATCTTCATCTGGTAACTACGAAATTGATAAAGAAGTAGTAACCGGAGAAGGGAACCTAAATAATTTTGATAATACTTTTGAAAAAGCGACCATACAAGAACTTACTGAGGAGTAAAATATTAGTGCTGTTATACTAACCCGTATTTGATGATTCCAATGTTATACTTGAAGACTTTGCAAAATTATTAATGTGGAATGGTTGTCAATTAAATATTTTGTTGACTACGTTGCTCACAAGGTATAGACAAAAATTAATTGCGATTTGTGCAATTTAAATATTTTGAAAGAGAATGAAATCCCTTAAAGCTCAAAGTGAGCTATTTATTCACTAAAAAAATTATGAATCGAAGTCAGATTCCAGATTTTGGAAGTTTGAAAGCACCCTCTAGCAGATTTTTTGAGGTGTGTAAGACTCATATTGAAATATTTGAAGAAAAGGTTAAATATATGCGACATGTTGTCCAAATAAAATCACTATTAATAGAACAAGCTAAAACTAAAGCTCCTGACTGGTTTACAGACCCCTGTTTAAATCATCGACTTCAGCTTCATAACTTTCTTATTACTATAATCCTTTGGAAGAATTGTTTATGGTATGTTGAGAAGAAGACGTCAAGTACCGCGCATTAAACATATAATCATATATACATATTTATATTATATATACCAAATTTTTGTATATATATATTTTTATATAATTTTTGTATATATATTTTTGTATAGATTTTTGCGAAGCTGTACAACAAATGGGGGATCCTAATAATAATAATAATAATGCGAAAGCGTTATGCGCCGCGGATAGTGACTTAAGGGTGGGTTTGTATGATGATATTTAGTTGTACAAGTGCCCAGTAGAAAAAGTAGGGTTCGAAGACATTGTCTTCGAGACGGTCTTTAATACTGCGTTCGCATGTTTAAGCACAAATTTCTCCAAAAACAATTGCTCCAAACATAAATGAAATAGTCTCTCTTTGCTTTCTCTCTCATTTGTAGTGTTCACAGCAACGTATTTGGATTTGGAATCAGATGACGCTATATTTTGTAAATGAAGTGACACTATAATTTTGAAGTGAAGTGTATTAACATATCGTGAAATAAATAAAACTAATTTTCATTTATTATACATATATATCTATATATATATATATATATATATATATATATATATATTATATTTAAAATATTTTTAAATATAACAATTTTTTTCGATTTATAGAAGCAACAAGAAATGGAAAATCATTTAATGATTTTGTAACAGACCTATGGAATTATTATTTAAGTTAATTTTTATTAATCACTTATTTATAATAAAATTTATAATTTACTTTAAATTTATTTTTAATTTCAAATTTTAAATAAAATGTAAACAATTATTATATAAAATGATATTTCTTTCTACTTATTTAAAGAGAAAATTAAATTTTTTTTAAAATTTAAAGAGCGCAAAAGAAGAGAAGTGATATAAAAAAAAGGGTGAAAAATTAAACTTTTACCGACTGAGTCAGTTATGCAAGACTGGGTCTTCAAGACAGTCTTCGAGACAAGTACACAAAATGTCTTTGAAGACATTTGGCTAATTTATTCGACAATGTCTTCAAAGACCGTTATACCATACATTTGAATCGATCGACCTTCATGTATGTATCCATGTCCGTCTTTCGTCTTCGATGACAGATCGATCCGTTTTCTACTGGGTGGCTCAACTTTTGTCTACAATATATCCAAATATTTATTTCACCCACTGCCTGTTTTCTAAATAATATTTAATTAATATTAAGTATGATACACATATGTATATAATTATATTCAAATATATTAAACTAAATTATTTAATTATATTAAAATCTAATTATTAATAAGCGTTACCTTAGTACACTGATATATTATAATTTTATGTATTAAAAAATTGTCAAAATAGCAAGAGTAACTACTTTAATTGAGAGTCTGACAAAATGATGAAATGTATATACTGAGATTAATTTGAAAAGAGTTGAAAAGAGAGAAACTGAGAGAACTGAGAGTATAAGAAAAAGTATTCAACAAGTATTGAGTCGAAGAGGCAAAGTACTTAAAGCTAAATACATCTACAAATACGATTATATCGTGTTTGAAATCGATGGAAGGAGTTTGTGAAGACATTTAAATTATAGTTCGTATAGATATTATAGGTTTGTGCATTAAATTTTGATTCTAAATTTATGATATAAAATAGTTTCTGTTATCGTTTCTGTTTTGTCTTTTATTGTGGAAAACTTGGGTTTCAATGTGAGTCTTATTACTATAATTAAGTTTTAATAATATTGAAATATTAATTAAAAAACATTTTTTTTTCAAATGTCACATATATAATATATAACAAAGTATTATATGAGATAATATAACATGGCTTATATATAATATATAATAAATTAAAACGAGTTATATGAGTAAAATTATATCATATTTTTAACTAATTAAAAGCCTAATATTGGAATAATATCAGTTGGAAGGAATACACTATTTTATATTCATATGAATATATATATATTTATATTCCATATAAATAATAATGAAATGTAAATTGTAAAGTTATTGGTATATTGGATATTCGATATCTATCTTTTTTTTTTTTAATTGGAGATTTTTCTAAATTTATATTTTTTGACATCTAATTCATTTGATAAAAAGCTTTGTGAGCATATCAGCAATAAAAAGCTGATTCTCAAGCGAGTCTGGAATAAGAAAGACTTAAACACTAAATAATTAAATATCGATTTATTATAGATCTTCAAAGTTTTTGTGTGAAATGTAATAACCATCGGAGGCTCAATAAAAAATTGACAAATAACTTGGAAAATATAAAAATGTCTCACTTCCAAATATCTGAGCTGAATATTTATCTGAAGTACTCGTTTCCCAGGTTAGGCGGGAAGAAAGATTTGAATATGTTAACTAATTGATTGAATTAGTAGATATTTTTAAACCCTACATACTTATCGCATTTAAATGGTTTATTAAGTTTGTTAGACTTTTTGTAACGTAGTGAAAGACATATTGAATACTTAAATAAAACGAACACTAACTCTGAGCCTTAAATTTGGGGCAGGGTACAAGATCAACTTTTGGTACTTACAGTCTCAAAAATTTAATAACGCATAATTAAATACAAGAAATAATTTCAGGACCACTGATAATGGGTATTTGGCACTACTGGAAACAGCTGTACGGTCAAAAAAAATTCAATTAATTTAAAATAAAATAAAAATAATTTCTGTTGTTGTAAATCGCTAGTTTTCCAATTATCTCTCTATTGAATATCACAGTTTCTATTGAAGTACAAATAGACACTTCTGTCATAATGATGTTAAAATTAAATATAATATATAAATTTTGGATTAAAAAAATTTGTAGGGGAGATATAATTGATTTATTATAAAGTTATTAGTGTGAAGGGTATCGCAATGTGGTGAGGATAAATTTATTTACTTTTCTTGATGTCTTGTAATATAATTTTATATATAATATACGATATAATGTTTGTGTGTTATATGTATCTGCTCACATAGATATACTTATATGTTATCCAATCTGTTATCTAATATGATCATTAGATTTGACAAAGTACGGATCTTTGGAATGTAATAAATTCTTATGTGATCATACTATACTGTCTGCATAATAAATATTGTGAATGTATACGTAAGCTTCTACGAAAACGCCATGCACATGTGGCTCTGTTTTGAGTTTTAAGTTTCGACTTGTAATCAGGTTTAGTTTTCCCATGAAACATCTGTTTACTGATATAATTCATATTAACTATGTTCTTAACATAATGTGTAAAAACAAATTTAATTTGATGATTTGTTGATTGGAATATTAAATTTCGCAATGTTTATGTATATATATGCTCTATTAAATCGAAACGATTTATTTTTATTATTACGTATCAGCCATATATGACATCTTTACTAGGGAAGATTGATAAGTCAGTGATAAGTAAAGAAGTCCCCTTTAAGTTTATAAAGATTTCTCAGCACCAGCATACTCGAATACCTTTATTTGGCAATTTTCCATCGCTAGATTATGTATTTTCTTTACTATATCTCAAGTTGTTACTTTACTTCGGCGTTCTATTCGCTAAGCACTTTTGGTTTCCATACAATGCAAGGATAAAATGGGGTTCTTGAACGGTTGAGTGATTCCGGAAGTAATATTTAGACAGCGCAATACACCAACATCTAGCCTGTTCTCAGCAAGTCGGCCAGTAAGCCGGTAAGGTCTGTGGCTGTCTTCAAGCATGATCGTAGTATACTTCGAAAACGACTAATATTTTTAAGGCCATAATAATCGATGATCCAGTTTATTTAACAAGACAGTGAACCGGAACGCACTTCAGTAGTCACTATAGTCAAGAATAGTGTTGTTAAGTGATTAATCATTTTATTCACCATAATTGATACTAGTTCCTAGGATTAGGAAATTAGATTGGTCCTAGTAACATTTGAACATCATTTGAAAAATTTTTCTAACACTAATAGCTATAATGAGAACTACAGTATCAATATATTATTAATTCAAATATTACTCGACAATATTTAATATTGGTTTGGACTGCGACTTGTTTAGTTATTGAACATAATTAGTTTTATTTAAGAATTAGACGAGGATCAATAAAATCATATAAATATAATTATTCGGGAAGTTGCTGAGATAATTTTAGAAGGCTATCCACACCTAGATATGCATTTGTATTAAAAATGTTTTCCGAATCGCAGAAATGTTTATTACATTTTTTGGAGGCTTCAGTATTCTCATTAATTTTTGTCAATATCTTTTCTCCATATTCTCTAGCGGAACTGTGCAATGTTTTTTCTTTAGTCATCTTTAATATTATCTTTTCATCTTCATCTAAGCATTCCTGGTTGGTTGGTTGGTTGCAATGGCACGCCATCAGATAACTTCCATGTACCTCAATTAGCGAAAACTCCTAATATAAAAAGCATAGCTTAAATCCAGTCTGTCGAGTTTAGATAATAGAATAGGTCTTTTGTCTTTGCCTATTAACAGTTTGATAAACTGTCAAAGAAGTATCTTCGCAAAAAGCTATTTCTGCGGGACGCCAAAGTTGGTCATTCAAAGAGTGTTTCTTTTTTTTTGCAGGTTTCCACAACTTCTGCAGTGAGGATTATAAGGAATGCGCAGTTCCTCTGTGTGGGCTAAGCATTTTTATTCTTTAAAAATTTATGGGTACACATTTACTACTCCACAATATCATTTTATATCATTTTATAGTTTTAAAAGTGACTAAGTCTGTACTGTTTTTATTTGGAATTGTATACTCTCATTGCACTTTTTGAATAATTTTGTGTACGTACGTTGCTATGTATATATTTTCAAGAAATCGTGGGTGAATATTATGGAGAACCACACGTATAGTATTATGTCCGGAGTCTCGTTTATGCTTTTATATAAAACGCTTTATCGTATTATTATTGTCATTACTGTCAATACTTGCTTCACTTTAAATCACCACAAAACTTTTATATTGATTTTTAAAATATTATATTTGTTTATTTTTCATGTATTTTTATAATCAGAAAAATCGCTATGGAAGTAAAACCTAAATTTCAGTCAGTTTCCGAAGTACGCCACATCTTTACTTTAGCTATGGTGAATACTCTATTCGAGTGGGGTTATTACAGTGATAAAAATACCTATATAACAACTTTATATGAGGATTTAAATAAACTCTGTGAAGAATTCCAAAACGGTGAATGCTTTTGCTGTGTATGGTTATTCATTTTTTATGTGCGCCTTCTTGAAGACATGGCAGACGAGCTATCAATTCCGTACTCTACCATGCCAATCGAGGTAACTGAATGGGCTTTAAACAATTTGGACGAAGCTATTTGTCGTTGCGAAGTTAAGAGTGATGATGATACTTCCACAGAATCCGAAGATATTGATGATGATGATATAGATGAATATGCTGGAATTGATGAAAGTGATAATGATGATTATGACGATGATGATGATGATTGTGATGAATTTGATGAGGAGGATGAGGAGGATGAGGAATCGGTTGAAGAAGTGGAGGATGAGAGTGAAGATGACTAATATTATTTGTATTTTTATTCTAAATTTTTTTATATATATAAGTTTATATGATCGGAACTGAAATTAATAAATACATTTAAATTAATAAATTTTTGGACAATAAATTATCTACTTTTTTAAAAAGAAAGGTTTGACTTTTTAAAGTAATTTTATTGAATTTATTGCAATTTTTTTTAACATTATTAAATTATTTTATACTTAATTAATAAAATAAATAAAATATCTTAGAAGATGTTAGAATAGTCAATTATTTTTATATTTCTATATATTGTATAATATAATACAGACTTTTTTTTTAAAAAAATTTATATTACTTATATGTAAGTTTTAATAAATATGAAATATATTACGAAGTAAACACTATTTTGTTAAAGAAGTTATGAATATTATAAATTTAATTTTGATTACACCTTACTAAATTTATTAACCTTACTTATGAAAAACCTATATACCTATAATATATATATATAGTATTATTATCAAAGAGTTGTAAGTGACGTGTATTTCATTAAGTAATTTTTTATATTAATTATATTATAAAGACACTTTAAAAACAAATACAATTGATTTGTTGTATACCATATGGAACAGGCATCAGAGGCACTGTTATAATTTCCCAAATAGGACGAATGTCTACAGTATGAAGAATAGTGTTATATTATTTTAAAATACTTAATTCCAGGTTTTTATATTTGTTTAATATTTTAAAATTATTTTCATTAAACTATTATTATTAATTTACTTACTTTACTTACTTATGTGGCCATAACAACCCGTTACCGAGTTTCGGCCTGACGCAGCATGTCTCCCCAGGCGCCTCCGCTGCGAGCGCGCCTTCTCCAGTCTCGTATATCAAGTCCAGTTAGTGATCCCTCAACTTGATCACTCCACCGGAGACACGGTCTACCTCTACGTCTACTTCCGCCAACTACTGCTTCAAACACCTTTTTCGCCGGAGCGTCTTCATCCATTCTCACGACATGACCAAGCCAGCGAAACCGCTGGATGTTAATGCGCTGAATTATATCAATGTCGTGATGAAGCTCTTACAGCTCGTGGTTCATTCTAATACGGTAGTCGTCGCCAACTCGTAGAGGACCAAAGATCTTGCGAAGATTATTATTAAGTTATTATTGTTAAATTGTTATTATTAAATTAGATTAATTAATTTAATATAAATACACATACAATACAGAATTAAAAATATTATTAAATTATTATTCCTAAATTACCATATTATTATGAAATTATTATAATCAAACCATTATTATGAAATTATTATTAAAAAATTATTATTATAAAATTATTATTATAAAATTATTATTATTAAATTATTGTTAGTAATAACGATTTCATAATAATTTAAAAATATTATTATTAAAGCGTAATTATTAAGTTATTATGAAACCGTTATTATAAAATTATTATTATTAAATTATTGTTATTAAATTATTATTATAAAATTATTATTATAAAATTACTATTATTAATTTATAATTAATAAACTATCTTATATAATATTAAACAAATTATCTTTTAACAAATTTAATAATAACGATTTCATAATAATTTAAAAATATTATTATTAAAGCGTAATTATTAAGTTATTATAAAAGTGTTATTATTAAATTATCATTATTAAATTACTATTATAAAATTATTATTATTAAATTTTTATTATTAAATTATTGTTTTTAAATTATTATTATTAATTTATAATAAATAAACTATCTTACATAATATTAAATAAATTAACATTTAATAAATTTAATAATAACGATTTCATAATAATTTAAAAATATTATTAATAAAGCGTCATTATTAAGTTATTATGAAAGTGTTATTATTAAATTATTAATATTAAATTATTATTATTAAGTTACTATTATTAAATTAAATTATATATAATTACTATTATATATTTTTAATAATAATATTATTATATTATTATTAATAAATTATTATTATTCTTAAATTATTATTATTAAATCATTGTTATTTAATTATTATTATAAATTATTATTATTAAATTATTATTATAAAATTGTAATTAGTAAACTGTCTAATACAATATTAAAAAAAATTATCCTATATTACTATTAAAGTGTTATTATTAAATTATTATTATTTAATTATAATTTTTTGAAATAATTAACCATATATATATATCATCAGAATATTGATTACTTTTCCAAAGTAGAAGCTTGTGACGATATAAAACTTAAATTATTATTAAATTATGATTAATAAACTATCTTATATCTTATATAAACTATCTTCTATAATATTATATTAAATTATCTTATATTATTATTAAAGTGTTATTGCTGAATTATCATTATTAAAGTATTTTTATTATTATTATTATTATTAATTTGAAATAATTAACTATATATATCACTAACATATCCATTATTTTCTCAAAGAGGAATGTTGTGGTAATATAGAATTTAAAATACTTCTATCAAAAAAATATAAATAACTGAATAACACTTTAAAAATTTGTGTTTAAATTAATAATGGATATTAATTGCAAAATAGAAATAAATAAAAGAAAATTAAATTGAAAAGCTTTAATTTTATGTTAACAATGATAATGGTGATAATGACAACAATGATAATTGTACGAAAATATGAAAAAAATATATATTTTTTTTAATATGGAGATACGGATCCTGAAATCATGGTATTAAAGGAATCATAAGGGCCTATACATTTTAAAACACATGCATTATTTATAATACTTATCATAAATAAAATTATTTCTATACGCTATAATTAGATGTATAAAACCAAGAAATTATGAATAAATTGCAATAGATACGTGATCATATTACATCTCATTAGATTATTAAAGAAATTTCCAATTCAGCGAAGAAAACACAGATCAAACTATAAAGTAAAAACCACAAAGTTGATACCATATTGTCTACAAGACTGTAAATGAGACTTTATAAAAACGACGAAATTTAAAAGACACTATAAAGAAGACTCTATAAAATAAAGTTTATTTTATAGAGTTTATAGAGTTGTTTATTTAATAAACAATATCGCTTACGCTTTATAAAGTTAACATTATAAGGAAGACATCATAAGTAAAGACTACACATAGTAGACACTATAAAGCAAACACTAAAAGCTGTGTACTAAGGATACACGTTAAAGTAGACAATATAAGGATACACGTTAAAGTAGACACTCTATAATCGAGATTTTGAAGAAGATAGTATAAAGTAGATATTACATAGTCGAAACACTATAGTGTAGAGAAAGTAGATATTCTAAAGTTGATACTAAAAACTACGCATTGTAAAATAAGCACCATAAAGTAGACATAATAAAATATGTACAAAAAAGTAGACAGTATAAAGTAGACAGTATAAAGTAGACAGTATAAACAAAATAAAGTAAACATATTCGATTTTTTACTACATTTTCAAAACCTTTGGACAATTATAAAAACTAAGGGGGTTGCTTTGTGAGTTTTTATGATTTACTAAAATAAGCGACATAACACGGTAAGTACTTTTTAATATTTCTTTATGAAATTCAAGTTTTGGTTATTTTGGTTGTGCCATATCTAATATCCGGCGTTTTAGATTTTGAAAATTATAACGCATCTTACTTGTATTGTTTGGTTGTTTTCAAAGCAAATAAGTCGAAAAACTATGAGAGTTAAATTCTAGCAAATAATTCAGCAGTATTAATATCAGTGAAAAACGCGGTAGAGGACGTCCGCATCTTGGATGGAAGCACCAGTTGACCAATGATTTGGGTGCGTTCGGTACTACCAACTGGCGACAGCCAACAACTGATTGGGTTGATGGACGGAGGCTACTCGACGCGAAAAAAAATGCTTATTAAACATTTTCATATTCTTCGTCGTTTTTAGTCATGTGTTTTGTACATATTAATCATATTTATTTTTTTAATGTTTTATTAAATATTGAATTGATTTTAAAATTTGTTTTTAGACCGTTTACGCGCAAAAATTAAAAACACTTTTAAGGTAGCTGTGAATCAGTCAGCTGTTAAGCGGTAAGCAAAAATGTTGATTTTAAACATTTTTAATATGGATAGAGTAAATATGGATATTGCAAAAGAACCAAAATAGTAGAAGAAAATAATAAAATAATATTGAAGATTTTCGGAATATTCCGTATAAATTAACAAAATTACGAGAAATGCGATTAAAACTTTTTAATCAAAAGGCAATACTTCCTTCTTCCATTTCTTGGCGAACTGTTTCATAAATATAGGATTTCTATATAGGATATAGAAAGGATTTCTATATTTTTTACCATCCAATAATTTTACTATTTGTTTTCTGCAAATACTTTAATTAAATACTTTCTTCTTCTCTCATCCAATTTTTTTTTATATCCCAGTGTTATTTGTAATAAAATTCAAAGTCCTATTGACAGTTGACTTTATTGCATTAAAGGTGTTCACACATACTTAAAAATGGTGTTAAACTGCTTTTAGTAAGATAAAAGTGCTTTTAAGCAAAATTCAGATTTGGGTGTTTACGCGACTTTAAAATCGATTGTAAGAGATTTGTAACAACTTTTAAGGCTCGCGTAAACGGGGTGATAATTGCATCCATATATAATATAAATATATATATATGGATACATATATATAACTTTTTAATCAAATGGCAATACTTCTTTCTTCTATTTCTTGGCGAACTGTTTCATAAATATAGGTTCCTTTCTATATTTTTTACCATCTAATAATTTTACTATTTATTTTCTGCAAATACTTTAATTCAATACTTTCCTTTTCTCTCGTCCAATTTTTTTTTATATCCCAGTGTTATTTGTAATAAACAGTCAAAAGCTGACAATATAAGCCTTAAACTGCGTTAAAGGTGTTCCCACATACTTAAAAATGGTGTTAAAGTGCTTTTAGTAAGCTAAAAGTGCTCTTAAACAAAATTCAGTTTTGGGTGTTTACGCGACTTTAAAATTGATTGTAAGAGACTTAAGACAACTTTTATGAAATGAAATGATAATTGCATCCATATATAATCATAAGCTACTATATATCTACAGCCCATACGAATTTACTGAGATGAAATAATTTTTCTGTCCTTTTAATTCTTTTCCGCATAAAATCAGAAAAATATGCTACGCGAAACTAGTGTGAACAGAGCCTTTTGCGCACTTTAACTACATCGTTTTGCAACACTGTTGGCGTCTCACGCACACAGTGAAGTATTTGGCTTTTTGTGTAGCTTGAGCCTGCAGGTGGTGATAGCTTTGTGTTGCGGAATATTTTCAAATATAAAGTATTTTGTGATCAAGTGTTATAAAAATGAAAAATTTAGCTACATTAGAAATCGTAAGTTAAAATATACAATTTAAAAATATACGATATACAAATCGTATATTATTTATTCTAAGTTTTGTGTTATAGATATCATGTCTCATTTTTTTTTTTTTTTTTTTTTTTTGTTTTTGCTTTTATTGTAATGTTCCGGAACTCTCTTGGATTTCAAGAAAAAGTTGTTCAAACTCCCGCCTTATTTCACAGATGAAAATGTCCGCATGTTCGTCGTGCAGTATATGAATAAAGCACTAGAGATGTGGTCGAAGCGGAGAAAGCGAAGCCCTCACATTGTATCATTGTTGACTGATATGAGCTGCTTAATCCATGAGTTTGAAAGTGAAGAATGTTATTGTTCATTTTATTTATTCATGTTTTTCCTGCGTCTTAATGAGGACGAAGCTGAGAAGACACATATGAGATTTAAAAAGGCATCGGAAAATGTTATGAATTTTTGTTTAGATAAATTGGATGCAGGCTTTTGTCTATGCGATATATACTATGAAGAAGGTGACAATTTCCAAAATGAAAACGGCGAACACGAAGAGTTTTTTCTTATTGCAGTGGACGAAAGTTTGGAACAAATCAATATACCGGACGAAAATAATTTAAAAAATTATAAAGGTGATCAATATGAGCCTGAAAACGATTTACAACAACATCTTAATATTCTTCTAGAAAGCGATATGGATGAATAAGGAGTGTTAATTAAAATTAATCAATTGCTAAAGTATTTAATTTGAGTTGAGTTGTTTATAATAAATATAATAAAAGCATTTGTTGTTTGAAAACAAATCGTTGATTAAATAATTTCTCATACAATTTTTTTTTTTAAATATAACTTTTTACTGCCAGTAAAAAGTTTTGTTTCTTATATTAAGTGTCTCATATTTTCCCGTTTTTTGTGTGCGTACTATACTTGTCTCTTTCCGCTAATGTTCACCAACTTGTTTGATATAGGAGTGAAGAGGATTGACTATTTATTAATCTTTTTTTATTTGCATTTTACTTGTAATCTTATTGTCTACTTCTGTATGTGTTTACTATTACCAAAGAGTATATAAACATATATATACATGTTTATATATTTATATATATAAACACGTATATATTACATGCTCCTTGCTTTTACCAAAGAGTATATGAATATGGAGAGTGCAAGTCGAATAAAAAATCATTCGCGAAAATTTTGTTCTATCAGGAATTACTCAATACTTGAGTCGTTTTACTGAATATGTGCAAAGAGACTGAATTTTCTTTGATACATATGTACATATTATCACACTCAACCGCTCTTCTTGTTATAAATATGCTCTATTTTGAATTAGTAATCTTTGACTATTTATTTGCAATGAAAATAATAGCAAGAAGAGCAAGAAGAAGTATGTATATGCATTTTATATACAGAGTAACTCTGTGTATACGCAAGTGTGTTCCATCAGCAAATTTTTAAGTAAATGAGAGCATCTGAGAGAGCGTAACATTTTTGTATTGCTTATTTGCGCTATACAGACTTTACACAATATTGTTCCATGAAATCTTTGTGAAGAGCGTAACATGGTACTTTATTTTTTTTACGCTCTCAGTTTGTACTTTACTTGTGTCAAAGACTATTTAATACAATTAAATACTCATTGATATCGCATTTCATAAATCATATATTTATTATTATGTGTGCGTTTATATTCTCTTTGGTTCATATTTTTTCACAAATCACACTCTGAGGATTTGAGTGAAAAATTGAACCTTAATAGTGTCTACCAGTAGACCTGCAGTGTGATCAGCTATTTTGTTCCTTATGCATACTCTATGTATTAAATACTCAGTGGTTTAACACTCCAACCCCTCCCGCATCTTGAAGTTACAAAATTTAAAATTGAGTCTATGTATTGAATAGTCTTTGTTGAAATATATGGATTTCACTCTAAATGAAAATGTATTTAAAATTCTCAATAATGGCACATGTGTTTGGCATATGTCCGTCTTCAATGACGTCATTGCTTACCGCACTGAACCGTTCAAGTATTAGAATATAGAATGTTGACGATTTTCCTATATGTTGCTATTGAATTATCATATTCAATAAGAATGGACTATATGATGCATTATTTCCTTCAGTATGTGAAGAAGTAAATCTAGTGAGAAAAATTAGATTGGGATTCGCCGAAGCTTTAATATTAATTCTAGACAGATAATTAATATTAAAGTAGACAGATGTGTTAAATTTATGATTTGTTTACTAATTTTAAACAAAACAATGCATTTGTAAATAAACTAAGCCCTGTTCACTAAAAGTTAAGAAGAAACGCTATCCAATTATAGAGATTAAATATTCCATTTATAACAAATATGTACTCAACTCTTCACCTTGCCCTCTCTAGATCTTCTACATTTTTATTGCTTTTTTATTGCTCTTTTTGATTAATCCCATAGAGTTTGGAATTACCCATATAGAATGACTATCATTATGCATACGTTGGAGTTTTTATAATTGTTTGATTTTTGTTTGTGAATATACCATTTACCTATTAGTGGAATATTATTTCAAAATTATTTATTTTGAAGAAAAAGAACATTTACATTTAATGGTTTAGCTTCACTAGCTCAGCTGCATTGTTATACTTTAAATAGTCCTAGCTCATTAAATCATAGTGCATATGAGTGACTTATGTATATTACGCGATGTCGTGTAATATCTTTAGATTTTTGAAAGGTCATTGCCTAATACTAATAGTAGAACTAATAGTAGAAAATTCATATGAGTAGATGGTATATATGCATTATATATGAAAGTGCAGACCATCAAAGAAAGTCTTTTCGAAACAAACCTGACAAAAACTGAGTTTATATTTCACAGTAAAAGTTTTCTATAGATTTATTCAGTACAAAAATTGTTTTATTTAATTTTATATTATAAGTAAAACTTGAATTATAAATCCAATTTAATGGTTTTTAATAGCATTAAAAGTAGGTTAAATACATTTTAAGAACTATATAACTAGACCAAGTTTGTTTCCATATAACTGTTTATTTTAATATAAGTCTACTGCATAGACATTGGATAAGTGGTGTAAGTGTAAATCTAATATTGAGTGTAATATCCGACATATGGTGTCAAAATGTAGTTGAGGAAATGCATCTCAGTAGCAATAAGCATGATAAATAATAGTGATTGGCTAATGAATGCGATGTTATTAGACTACAGTAGAAGATACTTCTGACCGACCAAACTCCTGTCTTGAATATTATCAAATAATCATCCAATATAGTCTTATTAGCCTATTATATTTATAAATAGTTTTCTAACTGCAAATACCAGGTGTCGAATTTCTTATTACTTATGGATTTTAAATCCATAATTGCCTTTAAAACATTTGTATAATTGTGAAGTTGATTTCAATTGTGAAGTGCTTTATTCTTAAGCAGCAAAAATGCAAATCTAATATCTTTTGAATTTTCCATAAAGCTATAGATTATGATGACTGTGTGATAACACGGCAATATTATGAGTAATAGCATATCATAAGATGGTTTACAAGCCTCAGTTTTATTTTGGATTTATATTTCAGGCTTATAAAATTGAAGAAAAATAGGTATATTTAAGAAAAAGGCAACAATCGAAATTTTACTTCTAGTTATCAAAAAAAAAAAAAATAAATTTAGATAGTATTTAGAATATGGAAATATCCTCACTTCCCTTTTTTGGGTCTGCCTCTAATAACAAGATATATCATCGGTTTGATAATTATTGATGTTCCTATGGAGAAACAAAAAAACTGCTAACATTAATTTCAATGGTAACCCGGTTGTGACACAAGTGTTAAAAAAAGTAAACTCCTCGAAAATTATTGAAATACGGTAAGAATCTTACACAAAACGATTCTCTATTTTCGTTTTGTTGTATTCTGAAGTTGGTTATGAAAGAACCTTTACTCCCTTATATGGACGAGAAAATTTCGCTGTAATCGTCTAATCCTTTCCATTAATAGTAATAGTAATAGTTGCATCTTCTAGGAATTGATGTTTGTGTATATAGACGTGTTGATTGAAATGTAAGAAATTTTTATTTATTTATTTTCAAGAATTTACTATGCAGTGAAGGTCAATCTGACACTCTAATAGGTATATATATTTTGAGTCTACACGAAATATAATTTATGAAATAAACTGATTTTGTCATGTCCGTCTGTTTATATATATCAGTGCAGGATCATATTTGTATATAGGTATCAAAACACTTCATTAATTATTAACATATATTTTTCAGATTTTATGTTCACATGTTGTATTGTATATGATTACTAAAAACAACATAGGTCGGTGGAAGTCTGAATATACTCCCGACATAAACTACTATTGAAAATATTTAAAACGAGAAATAATATATCTAAAAAAGCATTGCTAAAAAATGAGAGTCCATTTCAGTGAACTAAAAACAATATAGGCCGGTGGAAGTCCGAATATACTCCCGACATAAACTACTATTGAAAATATTTAAAACGAGAAATAATATATCTAAAACAGCATTGCTAAAAATTGATTGTGCATTTCAGTGAACTTCTCTTGGTTGATAAATTCTCTCGGATTTTAAAAATGTAATTGTGGACTGTGGTTATATGGCAACAATAAAATCAAAAATACATACATATCAAGCATATATAATTAAAGATAAAACTTTAACCATTATGATGAAAAAAAGTGTTGCCTGAAGAACTACAATATTCTACAACTACAATACTGGTTAAAAGCAACGGTCAATGCCTATTTCTATATGCACTATGCAGCACTTTAAGGCATTAAGTTTTAACTTTGCAAAATAAGTCTTTAAAGGAAAGATTAAATGTAAATTTAATATGGGTTGATATAACAATACGAAACATATCCACTGGCATTAAGAATAACCAATACTAAAGGACGTGGTTTCTATAAAGCGATAAAGAAAATAGATGATGTAGTCTCGAAGTAAGTTTACTTACTGACCTACAGATAAGAATAACATAACGGATGTTTTGAAAGTATTTAAAATAAACAAGATAATAAACTGTTTGACGGTTGTAAAACTCCAAACGGCTTAAACTGAACACTCGACCCAAATAGAAGAAGGTACTTCTCTCAACTTGGAATGCTTATTTCTAAAATTTTAATTTTCAAATAAATTAGACAAAGTTTTTTTTTTATTTTAAAAATGATTAATTTTAAAAATTAAATTTAATTAAATATTTATTTTTCTGATAATTTATATTGCAAAATACTTCATGTCTTTCTAATGCGAAAAAAAGAGTCATTTATTTTTACACTGAATAGTTTGTTTAGTCTACATGGATCAATTAAAATATTAAGAAAAAACAATAATAAAGAATTATATTTAAGATTTTAATGATTTTAGTGAAGATATTAAAAATAAATGCATATTTATGAATTTTTCTCCCAAATATTTATTCAAGCAAATCTGGGTATTATTTGCCAAAATTACATTCTAAAGTTAATCTGTGAAATCATAATCAGTATAACTAAAGTACGTTACTCATCAACTGTTGAATGAATTTCTCTTATTTTGTTACTTCTAGGAATAATACGATTAATACTTCTTCTATTCTTTGAAAACTGAAATTCTAAAATTTTGGAAAATATCTGTTTCTAATTAAACTTCTGCAATTCAATTTCCATATGTTCAGACCTCATTTCATAATAATAAGATAATAAGATTATTTATACACTTTACT